GTTAAGCCCATGCCTTTCAAATGGCCATAAACAGTCGAATTCGACAAATTTAATCTCTCACCGATCTCTCGTGTGGTTATTCGCCGATTTGCATCAACTAATACCTTTATCGCATCTTTGTCAGCTTCGACCGGCCTTCCAGACCGTGGTGCATCTTCGACATCAAAATTGCCGGATCGAAATTTTGCAAACCAGTTCTGGCACTGGCGTACTGTTAACACGCCTTCTCCATACACATCCGTCAATTTTTTCTCGCTTGGACAGCATTTTTACCTTTTCTGAAGTAAAAAAGTAAAATATGACGAAAATGCTGCTTATTGATCTCCATATTTAAAAGGGCACCAACCAAAAACTACTGCGTAGAATTAATAGAACTTTTTCACACACAAGCCTTGCAATATCAGCTCTCAAGACATATAATGGTTATGCGGCTTAAGTGTGAAGTTGGTTTCGAAAAAACGTAATTAATTCCTCTGACGGGAAAAAACGAAATGACTTTCCGAACAACCTTATATATGCAGAAAATGTGTAAAATTAAACGGAATTCAGAGAAAAGATACGATACACAATCGGAAAAAATTATTTCCGCCAAAGTTTTTCAAAATAACTGCTTAAAAAATTTAAATTAAACAGAAAGAAAACGTATTTTTGAAATGTTTTGGAACTCAGAAGACATTGCTATACGAAGCGACCGGACGCAGTGTTATAAAAAGAAGAAATGAGAGTTTTACGAATTGGTTAAATTCTAAAACAGGCAAAATTGCTGTTAGTAAAAAAATCTTTTTAGATACTTTTCAAATAAGCGCAGGACGATTGAAATGTGTATTAAAATCTAATAACATTGGCAACGATTTACGTGGGCGTTTGCCTGGATCGTGGTGAACAATAAGTGATGAAGCAAATTTGATTGTTCAAAACCATATTAACATATTTCCCGAAATTTGAATCCCATTATACTAGGGACCATAATCCCGACAGAAAATATCTTCATTCTGAACTGACTGTAAAAAAAAATGTTTAATTTTTATGAGCTTCACTGTGAAGAAAATAATTTAAAAGCAGTTAATGAATGGACTTATAGAAAAATATTCATGATTGATGATGATTCATGATATTCATTTGAAGCTAGCAGAATCGGCAGAACTGCTTTGAAACAAGATCAAGAGCGAGTATCAAGAAGAGGCTTCATTCCTCTTCAGACACCTAAAAACCCATCATTATCATCAAAACGCATCAATGCATATCGTGACATATGTGGAGGACAAAACAGAAACATCAAAATATCTTTAATGTGGTTAAAAATTCTATCGATGGGAAATGATGTGCAAATCATAGACCACAAATTTTAAATATTAGGGCATTCATTTTTACCTAATGACAGATGACAAATGACAAATTTTTATTTTGAAAGTGACCTAAGTCCTTTTAAGAAAAGCAAGGTCATATTATACACTTAATAATAGCAACTTTTTAATAGGATGTATAAAATTAAATCCCTTAAATGCGATTTAACGCAATAACGCAAAACCTTAAGTATTTCAAATTAAAGTGGACTTAAGTCACTTTCAAAATGAAAAACTATACATTTTCAGCATAGACAACCTTATAAAATACCTACTTTTATTTTTAAAGAAAAAGAACATAAAATTTTTAAATTTGGGGTATCCATTTTAAAAAAAAAATGATTTTTGGATTTTTTTTTAATTTAGTATTTTATCTTACTTTTTGAACACCCTGTATTATTAGTTATCAAAATATTATAAAAAACCTATTAAACTAGGTTCTTATCAACGAGGTATTTAAACCCAAATTAAAAAATAAAGATTTCATTTTAGGAAAAATTCATATTTTTCTTAGCGCCTGCAAATGACATATTTGAGATAAAAACTTAAATATGTCAACAACCATTATTAGAATTAAGTAGAATCAAAAAATGTAATAATATACAGGATGTTCCATTTTAAAAAAATGGAATAAAACTTTGTTTCCAGATGACTTTTGTATTTAATATTTAACATAAGATATTCAAGAGGTGTTGGCCCCTATCAAGTATTTGCATTAGCATTTTGTTGTCCGACGTGGACGCGACTTGAGTCCCATTGAAAGTAGCGTTAATTGAAACCGAATTCGCAGTAAGGATTTTTTTATTTTTTCCTCTTAGAACATGCAAACACAGCACGTGATTTTGCAACAAAACGCGGAATCTAGCCAAGGGTTCGATTGACTTTGACATATGAATGCTTCAAAAATGATTAATGTCACGATTTAACCGTATAAATAAATGATTTAACAAAATCGATTCGCAGATGAGAAAGAACAGTCAATTATTTTAAATGAAAAAGTAAAATTTTGTAAGTACCTGTACCATACATATATTAATTTGAACAAAACACTGAGGCACTAGCAAAATAGTAACAATATATAAAAATTAAGGAATATTGGGCCGTAACTCCTTGAAGTTTAGTTTATATATATATTAACCCTGAGGTTTGTACTAATTCCATGTCTTATTTTTTAATGATATCGGCAACACCACTCAAACTTATTTCTCCTTTTTTTGTCCTAATTTAACCTTTGCTCAATTAATTAGCAGTTTAACAGATCATCAGATAAGTAAATTGATGGTGGTAATCGTTTTTTAGTAAGTCCCCATTCTATTTCTCATATTTATCATTATTTAAAACTGTCTCAACTACACACTAACCGAATTTCGGCTTAGTTCAAATTAGATCTCGCGTCTTCTTTTTGAGAAAATAGCCAACAGCACATCACAGTAATATTCCAATCCTGTTAATTGGATTGGGTTTCGTGTTGCTTCTTCAGTTACTTATTAAATTTTAAAAAAATGTTCTAAACAAATATCTCTTAATATTACCAACATCCATTAAGCATGTTACAAAGTTAAGAAAAGTGCAACTTAATTGCAATATAATAATCTTTTTCTACCAGAAACTCCAAAGGAGAATAATAGAAAACGCTGTCATGCATACCAAGCTCTTTGTCTTTAGAGTCCTTATTTTTGTAACCAATAATTACTCAGCATTACTGACACAGTCGTTAATATTAAAATCGAATGAATAATTCGAGATATTCCTCAAAAAACGCAAAAAAAAAAAATTAAGACAGTTTTAACACAATTTTAAAGTTGTATTTAATTACTTAGTGAAGGTAGGTAGTCGAAATTGGGCACCTAAATATAGATGTCACCTAGCGCTAGGTGACCCTTAAAAATGCAAAAATTCGCAAATTATTTTTTAATTCGGAAAAATAAAAGGCCGGCCGGCGACAAACGACATAGCAAACAAATACCGTTAAAATACAGCTAACTGAACTATTCCAAAAATTAGGAGAACGTGACAAAATTATTACCCCGCGTCCCAGACAAAAATCGCAATACTTTCCCTTCCGCCAAAGCAGAAAATCGCAAATACGTACGTCCCGTGTCCTGATCGGTCGCCGACCAACCAAGCGCAGGCGCCCCGACGCTCAAAAACATTTCGACGTCGTCGCGCGTTTCACATCGCAAGCGAAAAGCGAATCAACTGGATGGCTGGATAGATAGAAACGCGATTAGTGAGACGAGGGGGATATTTTATCACTCGACACTGCCTGGTACCGGTTTTAAACCCTTCAAACGATTCTGGGGGAAGAATTTTCTCCGCCGACAACACAGTGCCTTAAAATTTAAATTTTTGCGTTGATTTTCGACTGCGAGGGATCGGTATTTATTTGGAAGTCCCGCGCGGTGTATCAGTGATATTTTTGTTTCTGTTTCGGTGTGGATATTTTACCGGAAGCCGTGAATGAAAAAGGTGAATGTTATATGCTCCCCCAAGTGTTGGGTTTCAGTGCGGCAGCAAGTGAAAAAAATCAATTCGCAATTTAATCGGAGGTTATGGGCAGGACCGGTCTCATTAAATCTGTGGCGATATTATTAAATTCATTTGCCGTTCTCAATTTTAACATCAATATGTTTTAATTATATCTACAATTATAAACTATAGACCAAAATTAGAAATCAAAAATAATTTTTATGAGCCCCTTTTGAGATGTTGTAGATGTTTCTTATATGATTCTTGACTTGATTTTGAGTACAAAAAATAATAAAATAAAACGTTTAATATAACCATACTGTTTGGTTAAAACCATTAGTGTTAAGCATTAAAATATCGCTCACTTGATGCAATAGTGGCACGTCCACAAAATAATACGAAGTTCCGAGAAAGTTAGTGATTTAGGAAAATAACAACTGAAATATTGAGATAAGTTATATCAACTCTGCTACTTATTACAAAAAATTAATAATGATGTGCCTTTATAATTACATATTGAGCAGTCTGTAGTCTAACACTTCTAATTTCTGTTCTTTTTTGTGCTTGTAATCATTTATATAATTATGAGTTGAAGATAACACGATATAGCTTCTGGGGGTTTCCAAACTTTTATAAATATTTAATTTAACTTTTAAAACATTATAATCATGCTTACATATTTTGTTGGACAATTAATTTTATTACCCTGCGGCATTTTTTCATTTATTATTAATGATTTAATTCCTGGTCAATTTTTTTGAAACATGAATTGTGACTTATTATTAAATTGGCTAGAATGATTATAAAGGGTCCTGATGATTTATTAATGAAAGCTTAAATTTTTAAAATTAAGTTGTTATCTTATGTTATTATAAAATATCTTATTATATAATTATTTTATTTTTCTTTAGTGTGAGTTTTAAGCAACTATGCCTTCTGTTTTTTCCGCGACCTTAACACTATTTAGCATTTTCTCAGACTGATTTTTACGACTGTTATTTTGGCGCATTGCAAGCCATCGGGTGAAGTTGAGGTTTAAAAATAGATCGGGCGAAACTCGAACCAATATGTTTTTTAAAAAACCTTCAGCGTATACAGATTATATTTAAGAACACGAATCGCATTGTTTGTTATACTGTAAACACGTGCTCTATTACTATCTAATATTCCCTTTAATCATTGTTTCAGGCTTCTCGAAAACCTAAGTGAAAAACACAACAAAGTAAATCAAGATTTAAGCGAAATAGAGGCGGCTCTTCAGGATATCACCAGAAAGAAGAGTGACTTGGTAGATTTGAAAAGTAAGGTTACCTCGTTCTACGTATTCGACGAAGACGTTCCGCGTACCGAGTCCGACTTAGATAAACTCAAAGTTAAAGTGGCCGGCGAGGTAAGCAACGCAAGGCAGTTGTCTTTGGAAATAAAGAAAAAATACGAAGACGCGCAGCATTTAATCCCATCGGACATCGCCCAAGAACTCAATCAGTTGGAGTTATTAAGCGAAAGCATTACATCAGCTATGGACGAAAAAGATAGGGAATTCAAAAAGGCCAGAACTTTGCGCTCCGACTACGTCAATGATGTGGAGGAACTTCAGAATTGGATTAAGGAAACCGAGCTTAAAGTCCAAGACAGATCAGTGGCACCTCAACAGCTGCACGAGCAGTTGCAGCAAATACAATCTGAAATGGGGTCCATTTTGGATCGTCTTGAAAATGTTAAACGAAATGGACAAACGATTATCGACAAATCCAAGAATCAAGAAGAGCAGGATATCGTTCAATCGACGATAAACAATTTAACCGACCAAGTGCAGCAGGTAAAATCGGAATTAGAGGACAAACGTCAGCAAGTCGGTGAAATTCTGGACGCCTGGCAGCGATTCCTTGCATTGTACCAACAACTGGTCCAATGGGTCGACGAGAAACGCGAATTTTTAAAAGATCCTCTAAAGGTCAGTTCCCTGCAGGACGTAAAGCAAAAGTTACACGACTATTCGGTAAGTTATTAAATTGGAGTTTGCTAGTGATTTTTTACATAACCTTTAATGCTATTAGAACGCGGTAAAGAGTTGCAAAAGTGCTACCAAAAACTTGAGCGATATGGCCAAAGAGCTGGAATATATCGGCAACGTGACAACAACGGGAGACCTTCCTCAAAAAATGGAACACGCGGAAGAAGTGAAAACCGATGTGGAAGCTCAAATTTTGAAAAGGGTAAACATACATATTCTTTAATGGGTCTTGTTTGTATTATTATTTTCAACGAACTTTATAATTTAGCATGCGTTATTACAAGAAACCTCCGAAGAATGGGAGCAATGCGAGAAAAAGATGAAAGAAGTGCGAGGGTGGATAGAAAAAAACAAAAACTCTTTGGAATCGGTTCAAAACAAGAAGAAGCCGTTGAGAGACCAACATGCGCTGCGGGAAAAAATGCTTGCTGACATCCATATTCAAAAGACTAAAATTTCGTTGTCCATCGAAAAATTAGAGGTCTGGATGATACTATTTGCATATCGGGTTCTATATTATTAAAGTAAAAATTGTTTTCTTAGCTTCATTTCCGTTCAGGCATCGAGGCCGATACGAGAATTACTCAGTCCGCCGACGATTTAATAAAAGAACTCGAGGGTTTGAACGCGTCTATCAAGGATCAAATTTCGCAACTTGAGAAGGCTGTCAACCAGGTCGAGGAGTATCAATTGGAGGTGCAGAATCTCAGACAGCAAATAGTCCAGGTGAGTATTGTTATTCAATTTAAGTTACACATGAATACAAATTTGTCAGAATTGTGGATAAAAACAATTTCGTTCAGATCTTAAAAACAAATAAAGGCATTCCGAATTTTTTCGTAAAATATCTTATTTTTTCCAGGTGGAGCAGCAACTTCGCATTGCCACCGCGCCCAATTATAAACCCCAAGATCGGGATCAGGCAACTAGAGACCAAGAGGTAGGTCGTGTACGATTAACACAGGTTTTTCTTGTGTGGACCAGATGAACGTGGCATGATTTTCTTAATCTTTCAGATTTGAAGATCCGTATTCTCAAAATGAAAGTTCCTTCAACCACAAAAATTATTGAACCGAGAAGGCTTTTACTTGATGAAAATCCATTTATCAAAATAAATAAGAACTAAAAGTTCAGATTTTCACGAAATTATATATTTTGACATGACAATTGTTTCGTCTTTATCAAATACATACATTTGATAAAGACACGGTGTTGTCGAAACAATTGTCTTGTCAAAATATATAATTTCGTGAAAATCTCAACTTTTAGTTCTTATTTATTTTCACAATAATTATTTTAATAATAGTAATGATATATCCACTCCCGCTTTGTTTTTTAGTGACACAAGTACAAGATATTTGTATTGCAACATGAAATTTGTCGCCTCTTCGAGGATTCGCTTTTGTGTTTTCTGAAAAAACTTCTATAATTACTTATATTGCTTTGTTGGTTATTAATTTTAAAAATCATGCCACAACCATTGTTTGTACAATACGCACTGCAGCCGTAGATATGCCAAAACTTTTTACAAAACAAACCCTTCAATCAACAATTAGAGCCGACCACAAAGCACACGTTTCACAATAAACGAAATTTTTCCAAAATGTATCGAGGACGCCAAAAGAAAACCCTGGAAACATTTTGATGACAATTATATGCGAGGACGCGCTGCAGAGGTGGCTGACACGTTCATCAAGGTGTTTCCACCTCCCCTTTCCCCAAGCGGCAGCGGGGATTGTGTTTGTTTTGGTTCCGGGCTCTATTGGTTTTATTTCTTGGTTCAACTTGCCTCATTTTTTATTACTTAATTTGTTGCTTCTTATCATCGTACTTAGCTTGTAGATGCGATAACGCTTTAAAACTGACACCATTTAATAACCACTTGTTTTGTGTTCACTGTCTATCTCATTCACCTACGACACTTGGTTTTTGGTACAGTCACTTTCATAACACCTAAACACGTTGAAAACTATGGCGCGGTGCTACAGTAAGAGAGCGTATATTTGATTTTTTTTCTATAATCTTGCTGTAGCCATTGCGTTGTTCGAAATCATGCTTTCGTTCAATTTATAGTCAACGAGTTTAGCAACGTTCGAGACTTGTCGCAGTTACTTTTTCGCGTACGTTTATTAAACAAATCGTAAATAACACCAACTATGCGACCAGCTGAGCGACAGCGACAATTCCAATTGGACGTTGCTATCACTCCTGCTGTTATGGGTGAGCCAGATGAAGCGAACACAATCGACATGTTTATTTTAAAATTATCGTTTGCCTACGTTTGATTTGTTTTTTACCGATCGTTTTGTTTCTTTTTTCTTCACTATTTTGCTGCACTCCCATCCTTTCACGTTCTTGGTGCTCAGGCGTATAGAGAGCGCGTTCGAGCTTTGCAGAACAAATTATCCACCCGAAAGGAGCGGATCAAATTGATTTTGCAGCGAGGCACGCCTGACCTCGAGCCACCAGGCACTTAGAACAGTTCCCTAACACCGAAACGTCAAACCAACCCCGACACCGACTTTATCGCTCCCGAATTCGTCCCCGAAAACGACATATACACGACCATGACACGCGTTTCAGCCACCATCTTACTGCGCGTTTTACCTTCACACTATGTCAGTTATTCGCGTTACTGATATTTTCCATTGTTGCTACGTATATAGGCGCGGGTCGAAGATTACCGACAAAGGATCGCCGGGCTCACGGCCATCATTCGTCGCATGGATCCATACTCTATTCAATCGCCTTCCGATATCTCCCTCCTCGGGGTTAGTTACGCCGACGTTACAGCAGGACGTTCAAAGTCGCAAGAGCGACAGTCGGAAAGTTCTGTTGAAAAAGCCGAAATACTTACATCTCCTCAGTTTTCCGATGCACGTCAACCGGATAATGTTTTTACTACATACGAATTCGAAAATGTGACGCAAACATTAGAAAACGTTGCCACCTTAGCACCTAACGTTCCACCCAGAAGGAGCCGTGCATCGAAAAAGCGACCAGATAAAACAATTAAACCGAAAGATTCGTCACCTGTTGCAATGGCTCCGACTTATACGCTACCGGCAGAGGAAACTCCGAAAATAACCGAATATTTGACAGAAACACCTCAACAACATCTTCCTCGATCTTTACAGCGTTCGAACAGTCCCATGTGGGGTCCAGGCTCCACAACTTACGCCGAAATTTTAAGGAATCAAAAAGCTTCGCAAGCTATTGAATCGACTCCACCACCACCAGTAATTGAGTCTACTATGAAAGTTAAACATGAAACGACAGAAGTCAGTGAAGAGCAACCATCAGAGTTTACAATAACTGATGTAAAAGCCGAAGATATTTGTGATAGATTGGAGAGTAAATACGCATCTCAACCAGAAGAAATGATACCCAACTGCCAAGAAAACGACCTTGCGAAAAATACGAATTCGTATATTATTCCCCGTTCTCAGTCGGACTGGGATGCATATCAACAATCTCAACAACAGTTTGAACCTGCGTTTAATGTTATACCAGGATATTATCAGCAACCTATTCCTTCGTTTGATTATATCCAACCGTTACCTGACATGGTTAACTTTATAGCCTCTGGTGAGCAATTGATAAGCTCTGGCTTAGGCACTTACCATAATCAGCCTCAAGTTTCAACTATTCAGCCAGCTTTCTGCGTTTCACAAAATGGTCAAACACAAGGGCCAACAACTGAGTTAGGCGATGCATCGCAGAGTGCAGCAATAGAAGTTCAAGAATCGGTACATACGACCGAAGTTCAGGAGAACGTAAAAGTGCGTACAGAAAAATCAACAACAGCAGTTGCGAAAAACGACGTTTCCCATTCGCACTTTTCCTACGCGCAGATTTTGGCGCAGGGATTGAGTGACAAAACTCTCCAGCCATCCAGTATCGCGACATTGTCAAAACCGAAAATAGATTGTGCTTCCAGACAACAATCTCCTAGGCCTGGATACGAAGCCACGTCAGAGGAAGAAACGCAGTCTCATTCGAGGAAGCAATCGAACTATGAATATAGGACGAAGTCTCCTGTAAAGGAGGTCGTACCTAAAAATGCGAATCACAAAGATAAACGACCGAAGTATGTCGATATCGATAACATACAGCAGCCTAGTTGTCATGGAGAGCCTATCAAATTGATAGGTGACGACGCAGCTGCCGTTTCCTTTAGATCAGAAGACTTAAAAGCCACTAGTGATATAGAAAACTATTCCCATTCCCGATATACAAGTAATCGGCCCACCAAGTCGAAAAACAAGAAAGCAAAAAATTTGTCACTCGATGATATTGATAAAGCTCTAAGAGAAATTTCTCTTTCTGATAACAAATCCGACAAAAAACATGAACAGAAACTACAGAAGTCCAAGTCACATAAAAAAAAAATAGAAGTAGAGAAAACTTCAACAAAAACTGTTATATCTGCCCTTCAGGATCATGTGCTATCAAACAAGACAACGAAAAAACCGATAGAGAAACATCAAGTGCTGATAAAAGAAACCAAAGTAGTGACAGTTAAAGAAGAACCTGTAGGTATTAATGCAACTGAACTTAATATTAATAGCTTAGAAAATTCTGTTGTTGAGTCCAAAAGTAACGAGAACCTTGTTGAAATTCAACCCGAAAAAACAATAGAACAACTTAACAAGACAGCAGGAAAGCTTAAGAAGAAACATAAGAAAATTAAAGGGTTAAAAGAGGTTTCCAGCTTAGCTGCTGAAATCGGAGCAAAAGAAAATACAACAGAAATTTCAGTCACTTTGGAAGCCGACGTTCGTAACAACCCAACGATTTTGGAAGATGCCCTTCACATTACCAATAAAAAGAAACGAAAACATAAAAACAAGGCTCAAGTAACTGAACTTCCAAGTACAAATCTACTTGAAACAATCAGCAACAAACATATTACCGATAACAACCAATTCAGAACTGAAAATGGTGTAGAAGCGAAAAAAGAAGAAATTGTAGAGGACAAAGCGGCGACTAGAAAAAAGAAAAAGAATTCTCAAAAAAAAACATCTTTACCTTCATCAGCAATTACGGATGACACTAATTTAATTTTGACCTCAAAAGCTAAGAATGAGTCTGATCAATTTTCACTCAAATTAGACAAAGAACAAGTTACAGTAATAACCCAAGATAAAAGTGAAATAACGGCCGAAAAAGTACTAGCCCCAATGGATAGAACGGCGGGAATTAAATCAAAGAAGAATAAAAATAAAGCTAATTTAAAATGCGAAAATCAACCCTTTGCAGAAACTCCAACGTCCGAGGCGACTATAGAGCGTCTTTCGGTCCCAAATGGAAAGGCACCGCCACTAGATGCTGCATTCTCTTCGGTTACGTCTGAATTCGCTGAAATAAACTCAGTCGATCACACCGTAAAAGAAAGTATCGTAGCACAATCTCAAGACATAGTGGACATACAGGACGGTACAAAAAGTGAAAGCAAACCCAAGAAAAGTAAAAAGAAATCTAAAGCAAAACAAGAGAAGGCAGAAGCTTCCAACGACATAGCAGCAGTTGAAGACTGTTCGAATTCATATGATACTTTATCAAAAACAACTCCGGTGAGTCAGAAAGTTTCCACAATGTCTTCTGTCGACTCTCAGGCCAATGAAGTACACTCAGAGAATATTCCGAATACGGCGAATACGATTCCGGTTAATGAAGAAGAACGGAACTTGTGTTTTGCACTGGATCAACATAAGTCTCTTGAATTAAAGCCTACTAATAAGGTTGTATTAATAACTCACGAAGAAACTAAAATGTCTCCTGTGGTTACTTTAAAAATGGAATTTGTTCAAACTCCTGTTGAAGTAATTAAACACATCCAAAAGGGAAATATTGAAGAATTTGAAGAATTTGACCATTTGACATCACTTACCGAACGTGTAGTGGAAACAACTGTAAAACACAGTACAAACACAGCCTCGAAACAGTTAGAAATGAACGAAACTCTGGTAAATAAACTCGAGAAAGTTGGCGTTGAAGCAAAGCAATCGTTGCCACTAAATATTGTCGAAACAATTTTAAAGGATAAATCAGAAATAAAACTGCAACAAGTGAGCGAAAAATTACTTAAAAACTTGGAAAAAGAATCGTGCAAGACGATAAATTCAGTCGATCCAGCATATAAAAACGTAGCAACAGACCCAGGTAGTCTAATAATTCAAGAAACTCACGAAGAACACGAAAGAGACGTCGTAATAAATACGGAATATGAAATGAAAGCCGTAAGGCATATAGACGCCGAAGACGCACGGGTAAAAATCGATAAGTCTCAAGACATTATAACAAATAAATTGCCAAATAATGATGTTTTCGAAATATCGCTAAAGCACGACTATAAAAATATTTGGCCAGAAGATATGCCTAGGGACACAGAAGTTAAAATTGATAGCACGTGTGTAAAAAGCAAAACTCATAAAACTTCATTTGAAGAACTGAAAGTTAATTTACGAAAATTTCTTGAAAATGAGTGCCGCTCGAATCAATTAAATTTTACTGATTCAGATATGAATTTCGAGCAAGTGATTTTCGGTTCCGTTAAACAGAGACCACCGAAAAAAGGACGAAAAGAGAAAACAACGAAAAATGAAAAACCACAAAACGTTGAGATCGAACCCAAAAATGAAGATAAATCGAAACGCCATGGAATGCCAGCGGAATTTATTCTAAATGATGAACCGAAACTCGACGAAGTCGATTCGAAATCAGTTCAGAATAATTTTCAGTTGTCAAATTATTTGTCATTGTCAACCACAAACTCTGATGTCTTAAGTGAAGTCAATAATATTCCGGAAACTATGTCTGATGAAACTCTATTAAAGGAAGAAACGGCAAAAGATACAATTAGCATCCAAGAATCAGTACTAACTTCGGATATTAAAGAATGTAAAAATAAAACGGTATCAGAAGAAAAAGACGAAAACCAGTTAAAAATCAATACGCAAATAGACCCTGTCTCAACACAACAGGATCAATTGGTATCCGGCAGTACCCCATTACCTGATATTTGTTACCTTTTGCCCGAATTGCCTCCTTTGGAAAAAATTCAAAAACCATCTACTGTAGAAAATAACTTAAATGATATCTTGACTCAATTAAAAGCGGAGACTTTAGAGAAGTATAAACCTGAACTCAAAGGCGTATCGTCCACTAGTAATGCCGAACCCCAAATCGAACAAGCAAAATGTATGCCCGACCAACAAGACTCATGCAAAGAAATTAAGAAACCAAAAAAGAAAAAGAAAAAATCAGTTTCTTTTGAAGAAATCCCAAAGGTAATCCACATCAAAGAAGAACAACTTGTAGAACATATTGGGCAATCAAATTCTGAAGACACCGAACTAGCAAGCGAATTTATATTTGTTCCAAATCCTAGCGACGAATTGCTGCAAAATGTCTTTGAGAATGAACAATCACAAGATGATGCCAACAAAAATAGAGACATTGAAACTACTGACAAAACAGACTTTAAGGAATCTCAGTCGATGCAAATATACCACAAGCCGGAATCGGGCGATTGGACGGAACTTACTGAAGAAATTGCTGAAAATCTCAATTCTAGCACAATTGAAATTCTAGAAAGTAAAGACCAACCTTCCAGAAAGGCATGTAAGCGATTAATATCAAACGAATCAACTCACCAAATGAAAACAAGTACAGAAAATACAGTAATTGGTGAAAACCTGTTGACTAAGTCTTTGCAGTCTTTGCAACAGCTCAATCAAAACCAGAACGACCAAGAATTAGGAATTCAGAAAACAAAAGGTTTCCAAGAGGATTCGGCCAGGCATCTTCAAAACTACTCCGATCTAGAAAGAAAACACATAGAACAACGTGTAGAAGACGTTCCATTCGAACAGACAAATACAAAAATAGAAAATAAAGAACCGAAAGAAGCACATAAAAGAGATAAAAAAAAGAAACATAAGAAAAAGAACATTGCTAAGGAAATTGTTATGTCTGAAGAAATTGTCCGGGTTCCCGAAGCAAATCAAACTAGCACTTCAAATTTTATAGATAACGAGACAGAAGCAATACTTCAAAAAACTGAGCATATTGAAGCAACGGAAATTATCTCAAAGCCAGACGCTCCATCGGATTACATTACTAAAAACTGTGAAATGATCGTTGATCTAAATGGAACAACAAAGCAAACTACCGTTGAAGCATTAGATCTTCCGAGGGAGATATCTGCTGATACGGGCGAAAGTGATATTAACTTACAACGTTGGCCTAGTGTTGAAGATTTAGTATCTAACGTAGACATCAAGCCGTTTTCTTCGTTCGAAATTTGTCCCGAAGATCAAGAAACAAAACAATTTATTAAAATACTGACAACGGAAGTCACCGAACAACAGAATAAAATTAATATTTCCGTGGAGCCATCTTCAACGCAAACTGACTTTGAAACAGATAAATTAGAAAAGAAAACTGAATATAAAGGTTTGCCTCTCGATGAAACCAGTACCATTTCGTTGGACATTTTAGATGAACCACCTATATTTTCCGAGAAGGAAATGACAGATGACAATATGATTACACAAAATTTGGAAAAACATGCGGAAGGAATGGATGCTCAGAAGGTTATATCAGATGTCACAAAAGAAAGTCACCGATCGATTGAAATTGGAAAGGGCGTGGAAAATGGAAAACATGGACACAAAAAAGCAAAAAAGAATAAACACAAGAAGAATATATCTGTTGATAAAAGTGCTTCGAACGAGGAAACTGAAGTGAAAAATATTTACAGTAAAGAATCTGGAGAACAGGAGGTAAAAAAAATGAGACGTTATGCTAGCATTGTAGCATCAAATCTTCCATCAGAGCAATGTAAATTTGAAGACGGAAAAAACATAGCCGGTCACAAATTGCATAAGATTGGTTCATTACAAGACCAAACCAAACTGGAAATTCAGAATCCGAGTAATAAAGAGGACCTGAAGCAACAGACTGAGTCCAAAATCAAAGAATCAAACACCGGGGTTATGGGACCGAGTAGTAGTCAGATTGCCGAAATGAATACTGAGGTTGTTCACAAGATTGGCAAGGATATTAAGGAATCTCAGAAGAATGTTGAATCAAACGCCCTCAGTTGGGCCAGCATTACAGCTAATAAAGCCGAGTTGCCCAAAAACAATGATCAAATTGCGTTTGGACAAATGAAACCTAAGGAGGACATTATTGCAGAAAACAAGGAACCTGTAAATTACTCGCCTTCTTATGCCACTGAAAATGACACAAAACGTTCAATTAAAAGTAAACATGAAGAAACAGAAGCAGATGATAAGTCTGAATTTGTAGAAATAACAAATTCCGAACATATTTTGCCTGAAGATGACCAATCCTTAAAAAATAATAATACATTAATCAATAAAAATTTGCAGAGTATCAATCTTGCATTAAACACCTCCGAATCAAGAGAAGCAATATCAACCGAAATATATGTCCTACAAGATAAAAACTTTAAAACTTCAAACATCGCAGATGAAAAAACATACTTAGACGACACAACAAAACCTACCGAGCTTCGTAGATGGGCAAGTGTCGTAGGTTCCAAAGAAACACCGAAACAAATTGTTCCTCCATCGGACAACACAGGGATTAAGAAACCCCAAGCTCCCAAAATTGTAGAAGTTCCGATACTTGACAACAAAGGCCCCAAAGGAAAGCACAGGAAGAAAATTACGGAAGACCTAGAATTGGAAATATCCGAAAACGAAATGTCACTCCAAGAAGTCTCTTTCCAACAGCCTCAAATTATTACAGAACAAAAGAGCGATCATGAAAAAATTGTCGAATCTAGCCAGGATGAATCCTCGCCAGATAAAAAGAAATCCAAAAAGAAAAAGCACAAGAAAAAACAACCCAAAGTAAAAGAGGTAAAACCTGCTTTCGTAGTGACCGAAGAAATTCGAATAATTGCTGATTCGCCGGTGATAGCAGCAGAAGAACCATCTGCTCCTAAGAAGAAAAAAAGCAAAGAAAAGAAAGTCAACGCAAACCGCGATGATAGAGAAGAACTGTTAAACAAAACTAAAGACGTTGCTACAGCTTTTGAAAGTTTGGTAATGGCGTCTAGTATAGATGAGACCAAAGGAAAATTAGTTATCGCGACTAGTATTAAAGATGACGATCAAGAGACAGATAACAATGAAAAAGAATTATGCGAAAACATGAAAGACAGAAATGAAGATCACGTAAAAATAAATAAAACTTTGCCAGTAGAAGAAGCCAGTAGCACTTGCAAGAATATTTTAGATGACACTGTCAACCATAAGCAAATAGAGTCTATAGATGAAACATCTAAAGACTTAGTAAAACCTGCAGCACTAGAGGAAACCACCGGCGCATTTCTACATATTGTGGACCAACCTCCTATATTTTCTGATGAAAAAGAACTTTGCATGGGAGAGAAAATATCGGTCGTTGAAAATAATGAGACACATAAAGATTTAGAAACATTTGAAAATGAGTTTAAAACACAAAAAATAGATTGCAAAATTTTGCCTTCCAATGAAACTAGTACTGCTTTCCAGGATATTGGCGAGGAGGCGATATCAGATTCCGATGACAAAAATAAATTTCCCTCAGTTAACACGAATATAATATCCAACGGCTTGAATCAGAAAATTGAATATAAAGGGTTACCGCTAGATGAAACTAGCGGCGCATTTCTAGAAGTTTTGGACGAACCTCCTGTATTTTCTGATGAAAAAGAACCTTGCGCTGAAACTATTCTAATTTCTTATGAAACGAAGCCTAGTAATACCGCTGAGTCATATGTCGATGACGAATCAGGTGATAGTTCCTGGGAAATTCTGGATGAAGTGCTAGTACCTTCTAATAAGAACGAGCAAACAGGATTAGCAACTGAAATAATACCTGCTGTAAACGCGGAGGACAAAACAGAAAGCCCTATCAATGATACTTTTGAAATTTTATCTTCGGATATAAACATAGTAGCACCCAAGCATGTTGAAACGATGCCCCGGCAAATGGAGGAAATCTTAACAATTGATGATATACCAAAATCTGAAGAAAACAAAATAACGGTACATCCGTCGTTAGAAATTGTAACAAGCGAAATCAAAATTGTAACTCCAAAACTTTGTGAGAACGTTAGCATAAAGAACGAAATCGATATATTAAATCCTGCTATCGAGTCTGACATTGTTTGGAGTTGGGAAGAGGGTTTCCACCCAGACCACGACCCATCCGAGATATCAATTCAGCATCCTTTCAATATTTCCGATAATACTTTGAATAAAGAAGGAATCAATTATTCTGAGTACGACATAGCAGAAAAGACACCGATTGTAGTAAAATCTGAAATCTCTCTCGATTCGAAAGATGACACTGAAGTGGCCGCGTGGAGTTGGGAGGAAGGTTTTACACACAGTTGTACAGAAACTAAGGATATTCTGTCTGGAGATTTAACATCAACTGAACGCGGAAAATTTTATTACGAGACATTTACTCCCGTTACAGAAGTAACGAAATTTCTGGTGAGTACTCAAGAACTATCCCCAGAAAGCGATGTTCAACAAAATCCAATTCAGACATTTTCGCAAAAAATAGATGAACAGGTGGGAAATGCCGAAAAAGCAAAACACAAGCAAATGTCGTTAGAACAAAAAACAATAGATGAAATAAAAAATCCAGCTAATGACACAAACACTCCTAAAAAACCCAACACCGACACGATCATTAAAGTTGAGGAAAAAATGCAAGATGCATGCCTGAGATTATCACTTAATACAGAAGAAGATCTCGTGAAATACGATATACTCCTCCTATTAGAAGCTGAGAAATTATGGCACGAAAACAAGTCGACAAAAGAAGCAAATGCAAAAGAAATAGAATTATATGACTCTTTTTATAATAAATTTGTATATTACGAAACCAATTTATTACTAAATTTAGAATCTTCTTGGCATGAAAATAATGTTAGGAAGTTTAAAGAAATAGACATTGCTGAGTCTAAAGGAGAAGAGCAAGATGTAAAGCTTCAAACTAACGAAACAGAGGAGGTCGTTCCTGCAGGAGTTTATCAATTAATTGAAAAAAGGGAGACAGTTAAAGAAATTGAGACAGGCGTGGATTTAGTTCCAATAGCCATTTTGACTGCTGAGGAGCAAATAACTAATCAAGAAAAGCACGAATTGAAAGTTGATGAACAAGAAGTTCAACTTAACCATTTCGAAAATAGTTCCTTGGAGGCTAGAGAACATCGGTCAAGTTCTGAGTTTGATATTGTGGAGAAGGTGGTCTACGTAAATAGGCGCGAAATAGAAAATGACGTAAAACATATTGAGCCCATTCTAGAACAAATAAATGTTGATCAACCAAACGTAAACAATTTAATAGACTCTAAAACCGAACAACTTGAGTCAGTCTGGACTCCTAACGAAAAAAAGGCGCCTGAAGAAATAGATGAAAATTTAGTAGCGAATGCTGCAGTAGAAGATCAGATACCCGAAGAAAATCAAAACGAGCCTATATCGCGCGTTCAAATTGCTGCAACAACGCAATATATGGAACAAACAATTAGTGAAAAAGGGAATTCACTGAAGGAAACCCAGTTATCTGACGAATTTTTGAATATAACGCAAGGAGAATTTGTGAGACATTACGATAATGCGGGCACCCAGTTAACAACCGACACGCTATTGCATAAAACTGAAAAACAATATTCCTTGTCGCCCGACTCCCCTGAATTTATCCCTCAAAGGCCTGCTGATAACTCGCACGTCGAAACTTCTGAAACATTTGCAATTCAAGAAATTCCTACTGCCGAACCTAAAAATGAAATTCATTCTGAATTCGAAAAAATTGTCGAAAAAGCAACCGAATTTGTTCCCAAATCAGACGCGTTCTTAATGAAAGACCCTCGCCTCAATCCTAATGCCGCCGAATTTGTGCCTATAACTGAACACAATACTATCAACCCTGGGTATGTGGCTTTTGAGCCTGTCCAAGAAAAAAATTACGAACCGGCCACTTGGCAATACGGCAAAGCTGTTTATGACGTTGGCGAAGATTCTGATAGATACGAAATACCACCTGATCATGCTAGTAATATATGGGTAAATGCGATTCTCAAAGAACCACAAGAAAATTTTAAAGTCGCAGAGGAGGTTGAGGCTGCAAAATTACCTAAGGTAACTCAACCACACATGGCGAACTATATTGAGCAGAACGAAGACAGGGAACGGTTATTGCTGTTACCTCAAAATATTATTTCCGAATTACAAACAAGCAAGTCTCCTGAAATTATCCCTACTACTACAACCGTATCCTTGACAACATCGCAGTTAATATCGGAACAAGCGTCTTCCAAATGCGAACAAGACATTCATTCTACAGTTGAAATAACACAATTGCCGACGAGTCAGGAATTTATTAAACAAGAATCAGTTCAACTTCCTGGTTCTGCACAAGTGCACCCCAAAGAAGAATCGATAGACCACAAATCCATCGAGACCGAGTTAGACAATACACAGTCTGAAGCGTGCGATCCTCCTCTCAAATCTGACAATTTGGAGGAAACGACAAACATATGGCAAACGCTTTCAAAATCAGGCAAAACTTATGCAGATGTTGTTGCTTCTAACGTCCCTGAAACTGAAAAGGCCAATTGCCTTATCGCTCCCGAATTATCTCAAATTTTGGAAGTACCTGTCGAAATTACTGTCACCGTATCGGACATACTTTCGAATGAAGCCGACACTAATACGAATAAAGACGATTTTATTCAAGTGCGTTCAAGAGAAAAGAAACCGAGCTCTAAATCAAATTCGACATCCATGCAGGGCACGCTTGAGGTATCCGACACCGAAGAAAACTTGGTAAAGGGGTCTCGAAAATCTAGACAAAGGCATAGGGAGTGCCAACCTTCAATAAAATTTCAAGAGTCGGAATCAGTTAAATTAGTGGATGCTGATGCGCCGGAAGAACCACCTACCACCGAAACAACCATTTTAGAGCAAAACTCTAAAACTATTACTTATGCAACTGTACTAGCTTTTAGTAGAGACAGTTCTCCTTTGTCTTCAACGATAGAAGATAAAAAAATCAAACAACCTGAAACGGATCAAGAAATTATGCAAAAAAAAGTAATAGAAAAACAGCCTAAAAAATTAAAATCAAAGCAGAAAGCCAAAACAATTGTTGATGTTGTAAATGTTACTAATCAAAAGGAAATTCCCATTGCATCATTAGGAGATAGTGATTCAATTGAAAAACTAGATCAAATGACTGAAAAGTGTACGACTACAGAAGAACAAAACTATGATCTTGTGGATGACAAAGTTACCTACGCAACGGTTACAAAATTATCAAAAAGTAGGGAAACATCTTTAGAAAAAACGCATTCCTCTGTGAACGTCGCCGTGGAGAGCATCCAATTGAAAGAAAATATGAACTTGACTGAGGAGAGAAAACGAGAAATGCAGCCAACTCAAATCACTGAAGAGCAATTGTCCTCAGAAAATGACTCGCAAATCAGCGCAACAAAAAAACAATCTGAAAAAAATGTGCTGCCAGAATGCGTCGAAGCAATAGACCAAGTTCTACCCTCGGACCACATAACATATGCCAAAGTTCTAGTGGTGGGCAAAAAGAAAAACAAATATAGTGCACTGTCAGATACTGGTGATTCTGCCGAGTCGAGTCCCGAAAGGTTTGATGCCCAGGTAATTCCAGCACAAAAGCCTCAGCCGTCCCAAGCTGAAGAGCAACGTTCTTTTAACAAGCTTGTAGAAATAACCGTTACCGATAATACTACAAACGAACCTAAACAGCTTGAAGTTCCAAAAACCAAAAGCCGAAAACACAGGTCACGATCTAAAAATATAGAAGAACCAAGTTTAGCGGAGACAATCACTACCATTAAAGGTGATGACAAATTTAACCCTATAGAACCTCCAACGCTGCAAACACCATCAAGAACATGGGCTTCACTTCTAAAATCGGAAAGTGGCGAAGATTCCAAAACAGAAAAAGAATCTATCGGTGAACAAAAGGCTGAAATCGATAGAATTGAAAGAAATAAAGAGAGCGAAGAAAAACGAGGTGTATTTACTTCCATATTGTCTTCAGTTAAGGGAATTGTTACAGGCAAAAAGGGCACATCTGAGAAAGAAGGTAACACCACGAACAAAAAGAAGCTCAAGAGCAAAAGCAAAGATTTGAATGAATTGTCACCAAATTCCAAAACACGTTCAACATATACAGAGCCATTTGTAATAAATGAAAAGAATACTACAGAATGCACCAATTTGCCATCTACAGCGCAGGACGAATGTTCATGCTCTGAAGGTATTCGCTCCGCTAACGAACCAGAAACTACCCTCGATACCGAACCCATATCATCTAGCGACAAAATACTTCCCCATGAACCAGAATATAGGGTAGAGGATATAACCAAAAATACATCTGAAGATCAACGTGAATTTCAAACGTTACGTGAAAGTCTGAAATTTCAACAACATATATGTGCAAACCTCAACGAACAAATGAATCCTCTTAACAATAAAGACAATCTTCACGCTTACTCTAATAATCAGAAACCACAGGATATCTCCAATCAATTTATTGCCCACGAACGAAACTCTCCTCAACTAGAAGACAAAGAACCCTTACCCAATACCAAAGACGGTAAGGAAAGCAAGAGTAAAAAACGAAAAGAGAAGGTACGAAATCAAAAGTCATATGAATCTGATAAGAGTGATGTAAATGATAAAGCGTCGAATGAGCCGACAGTTCCCGAGATAGACTGCTTAAAAGGTGAAGTGACCACGGATTCCATTAAACAGGAATTACAGGAGCACCAATTGTCTGCGAACGAGCACAGTGCTTTTCAACAAATGGTGGAAAATATTCCTGATGCGAGGAAATCTGATGCAGATGAAACCTCAAAGAAAAGTAAAAAACGCAAAGACAAACACAAAAAAGAAAAATCTAATGAATCTGATAAGGGTGGATTTATCCAAACAATAGTAACTAAAATCTCTGACGTATTCTCCCCAAAAAAATCTAAAAAAATTAGCACCCCGGTCGATAAAACTGCTGGAAGACATCTAGCGAAAAATATTGAACTTGATGACTCATTTTGGATTTCTAAATACGTTTATGAAGAAGCTGAGGAGAACTGGTATGCTAAATACCAGAAGCCACAAGAACCGATATTGAAAAAGAAAATTGACTCGGTGGAAGTATTAACTGCCAACCTGACAATGGACTCATTTTGGGTGACGAAAGCAATATATGATGACGCTGAAGAAAAGTGGTTCCTTGAACTCAGTCAACAAAAGAAAGAACAAAGTAGTTCTTACATAGATAGTTTGCCAGATGACTCAAATGACAGAGATGGCGATTCGGATAAATCCAGTGGACGAAACTCACCCAGAAATGATTCAGGAGATCCAGATAGTTCAAAGGAAGTCAATTCTGAATTTTTAATATATAACTTGCCAGGGGGCATAGCAGGTTGGAAAGACAAAAGCACATATTTATCTCTTGAACCGGTTAAAGATTTTAGCGAAGACAGTCTTTCTGAATATTGCGTGGCGGATGACCTAAGTAAAACATCAATAGACCAATTTAAAGACATATCGTTCCAAAGTGATTCGGGTTTCGCCGCGATAACGGAAACCAAAGACAATAGTTTAATTGACGATAATTCCTTCCATTCCCTATCCGAACCTCTAGGGCCCCAAATGCAGCCATCAACCACTACAGAGACCGAGTCCAACAAACAACGGAAGAAGGTGAAATATACTTGTGTTGTTTGTCTGAGTTTTCATTCGTTGTTTTACATCTCCACTAATCTAACGTTAATGTTTACCATTTTTTACCTGTTTCTCTGTAACATGTGATGCAATAAACATTATTATATGCATATTGTTAACATTCTTAGCTTATTAATATGTGTAGTGTTGCGAACTCTATGATGGGATATTTTCTGCAATGGTTTTATTTTTTGTTGTTCTATGTGTACAATTTGTAAAATTGCTTTCCTTCAACTTTTTTTTTCGCACCTTTTTGTGTTTTTTTTTTAAACCACTTATTCAACATTTCTAGAAACTTTTAAAATCGCACTCTTCCTATTCTTATTGTTGCTAGTATCATTTCTTTTTATGGGAGTCTTTATACCCATAGATAAATCATTTATTGTTGCCACAGATCTTACGGAAGTTGATTTTGAATCTTGTGTAGTAGTCTCCTATATACATGCAGGGCGGCACAAACTGTTGCAAAGAACTTATGTATCATTATTTGAAAAAAAAAATGACGATAGATAGATGTTAAAGATATTTTGAATGTTTAAGTAAGCCAGGAATCGATTATATAACTTAATAATATAAATATACTACTTTGTTTTATATTTAAGGCAATAGACAAACAAAAATTACAGAAAAACTTGAATCGTTAGGTATAGGCGAACTTTAACAAAAGTGCTAGATGGACAACAACACGATAACGTAGTTAAATACCTTTTTACATTTTTTTTACAATTTTACATACATCTTACCATATATGAATGCATTTTACCATATTTTTTAAAAATATCTCTTAGTATCTTTGCAGGTAAATCAAAATTTTCTCATCAAAGTTATAAATAACATTAATATAAAGAATCTATTCGACAAACAAAAGTTGCGACTGGTGCGTTTTAATTTCAACGCGGAATGACAATTTTTTTACACGACTGGAACGCGATCGCAAGAAACAGAAACATAAACTTTGGAAACGAATTTGTAAAACATATTTTAAGTAAATTCGAGACAAATTAGAGCGTTTATTTGATTAAGCCACAGGAAAGAATATAAAGTAGTGCAAAAATGAATTATTAATTATTTTTAAATGGATTTTATTAATAATTTTCAATTCCTATCTGGTGGAATGCTGCAATTTCGTTTAAATTGTCTTAATATTTTTGCGTGAATCTTTAAGTGTGTGCTAATGCTGAATACTGAAATGTCATGCTTAACTTTGATGAGTTATGGCTTGATTTAATCGGTTCTTTTATTTGTTTATTAGGGTTTTATCAACGATGTGCATAAACTTCAACAATCGCTTACCGCAACCGAAAGCTCAATATGCTGTTGGTCCAGTGAAAATTTCGACGAAATGCTTGGAGCCTTAGAGGTAAGTTCCTACGGTGTTTAAAGCTGAACATTAATTAGGTTTATTTGGTTAATCAGGTCAACTTTTTACGCAGAATTTAATGACTTAAATATAACATTTAAATAGTTATCAACCGAAAAATCGACTTTTTTATAAGGGACACTCTGTATGTTTTTGAATCATTGAAAATAACTTAAATTTGTTTAACAGAAATATAGCGCACCTGATATTTTCCTTAAGACTTGTTGAAATAGCTAGAATAGACATTTCGACTGTAGAGACGCTTCTTGCTAGTCTTGCTGGTATCTTTAACTGTCTTGTTGCCGTTGTAGGATTGTTTCTAACGGCTCTTAAAAGCCCTTGTAACCCACATGGAGTGGATAATATTTTGATGACAAGATTTTTTGTTTAATAATTAAAAAAAGTTTAAGAAATATATTTAAGTCATTCACTTTTGCGTAAAAAGTTACTTTGGAAATGTTTTCATAGAAACACAAAATGTTCCATAACAAAAAAAAACTATTTTTCTTAGATGCACATTTTCGAAAAACATCCTGTAACTGTGAAACGGTGCAGTTTTTAGCAATATGTTTTTTTAATCCAGCTCCAGATACTCAAATTAATTTTCTATGAACTTTAGAAAAGGGAGTTTTCATTTAAGTGTCCAATTTAGCCCATTCTGTACATCTGTAAAGTAACTTTAGTAATCTGTTCAAAAACGTTAAATTATTTAAAATGATTTGAATTATAAATATAAATTTTACGATGCATTGTTTTTTCTTTTGCTTAAATCTCAATCTTTAATAAGGTTTTCCTGCGGGCAAATTTAAAGTTACATTGTGTACAAATTTGAGTAAATGGTATAAAAGACCTATTACTTTTGTTTTCGCGTAATAAATAATTTAAACAGTCGAGAAAAGAAACTTAATCGACATCAACCGCCCAAATTTGGCGTATGCGGCATATGGTGTAAACGCCGTGTTTGGTATTTACCGTTTGCAGGCGGCCTATATTATTTACTTTGGGTATTAGGACACGTGGGTTATTGTAATTACCTACAAGATCTTATAAAGTCAACAAATTGCTATTTTCTCAATACCGGCATATTGCACGTATTATACTATGATTGAATAATTCAACTATCAATAAAGATCTGATGAAGATTGGGATGACTAATATTAAGCAAAAAAATAAATAAGATATCTAAGCAAAGTGAATATGCAATCAAATTTAGCTAGAACAGGTTCAATACAAAATTTCTATTAATAATGTTTCACCGATATCAAAAGTGTGCGAATAGGTAAAGGCTAGATATAGAAAGCATCTTTGGATTTCACGCCATTTTCTAAAGATGATATTATGAAGGAGGGAAAAGTCGCGTACGTGTAAGTGTCAAATGTTGTTTATTTTGTAAAAAAGCAACCGGAACTGCACCACAAGCGCCTTTAAATGTATCCAATACTTTTCCCGTTTAATCGCTCTTCTATAACGTAGATTTCGACACAACAATTTCGGACAATGATGTTGTAACGAAAAATTTAAAATAAAAAAACTGCTAGTACGAAAGTTTGTTATTGTATTTTTCGATTGTACAAAAAAAATTATTTAGTTATCTTGTACTAAAATACTGAAACTGTCTGAATAATAAATATTGTTGACATTCGTATCATATCGTATTTGCAAGTGCTTTTTATCTTCGGTATAAATTAAATTATAACAACGAATTATGCGTTTTTACACAGTGTGTTTTTTATGCTATCCATATTGTGTTAGTCCATTCACATCTACACTCAATTTCAAACGATCATGAACTTCCTCAACAAAAACTTGCAGGGTTGAAATTATTGGTTTTCGTTATTGTTGTTCCTGTTTTGTATATTGTTTGTTAATATTGTGTGGTTCATAATTAAACTACTCAGGATATTGTTATTTTCGGGTGTTAGCAAAATTCATTTTTCTTCAATCTCAGTTCTGGCGCAAATATATTTCACTTATAATAATGGTTAAATAATCTCATTACATTTACTATAATATTATTTAATAATGCAATAAGTCCTGTCCTCTGCCTGGTTGTTCGAATAACGGTTCCTAATTGGACGTTCGGTACACGAATACATTTAACAATTCCACCCGTAGACTGTCGGTCATGCGGTTTTGCACTGACTCTGATACGCGAATGACATCAGCTTCCTAATAATAATAATGACCCCTGCCTAAAAATTCTTTGCTAATTTTAAATCTTCATTGAAATTCTTTACAAGAGTAAGAAAATCATATATATATATATATATATATATATATATATATATATATATATATATATATATATATATATATATATATATATATATATATAAAGGTTGTTTTTAAAACATTTATCTGCATATAAATAAAGGTAAAATAAAGTGAAGTATTTTGAACTTTCGTTGTCTAAATACTGAAGATAGAAATTCAAATAGGAAAAGAAAACAATTTCCCTGTAAAAGCTAAAAAGGTAACTAACTAAGGCTTTTTAACAGTTGTGGTTTCAAGAATGCAACATAGACTAAGTTATGCTTCGATTAAAAATCCGATGTGACGGCTATATAATATAAATAATATAAAATTGATGATGGTAATTGAAACTGCAAAGATAATGGAGAAATAAAAATGTACTTCGCGGAATTTTAATAGTTTCTCAATGGGTTAAGCGCACGGTGTACAGGTGAAAAATTGAAATGTTATTTAAATCATATAATAATAATATAAATAAGAGTTATAAATAATTAAATGTAGTGTAATCGAATTATTATTAATAAATTACAACCATCAGAAAATGTCCTTGCAATATTTTATTTAATAGTAATAATTATATGTAAAGTTATGTATTATATAGAAGGTGTAATTTAATGATGGTTCATAATTACCCAAACGTCTGGTTGTTGAGATAGAGGACGACAAATTATAAAAAAAATCTCATAGATTTCTTTGGCGATTTTGTGGAAATTTGGTCCTTTTCATTTTTGTGTTAAGCAACTTATGCAAATTTCTTCCGCGATGGCACATCTAATGAATTAAATGAATTAAATTTCATTTGATTTGGTTATCATTAAGTGACGCCCTGTGCATAAATTCACCAATTATTTTCTGTAATAAATGAATATGCAGTGGAGAGATTAAGGACCGTTTCCAAATATTAAAAACTTGTTCACGAAAATACATCTTCGCTCGGGTCCAACTATGAAAATGTTTTCTAGTCGACAGTGTCATCACTACTTTCTAATATCGAGTTCGGGGACCACCCGTGGGCCATTTTATTTTGGTCGAGGCGCCATTTGCCGTTGCGGTATTTATAAATGTCTATTTGTTGTGATTGCATAACTCGCGAGACACTTAGGCCGATGCCAAAATTGAATACCGGGTATCCTAAACTACAGCCCCAAAATCTAATTGCCAACCAAGTAAACTAAATAATGCAAAAGTAACAACACTATATCGTTCATTATCTTTTCCGGCCGTGACAATTCGTGAGCCGGTCGCGTTCGTTTGAGGTCAATGCCAAACGTACATACAAACATCACCAAATTTATGACGATGATCTAATCCATATGTTATTATTCCTACCGTATTTTTTAAAAAATATTCTATATATTTTATATAACGCGGGATAAAGGGGAGCAAATAATTGCCAATGACAACCACTTAACCATTTAATATTTACTAAACAAAAGCGGATTTAAATCGGTAATTCTATTTAATTAAAGGCGTGAGTAACCACTACAACAATTCATTTGTTATGGTATAGTGGTCTCACTCTAACTATTTCTGGGGGACTCTATTTCATTAGTCTCCCTCTAATGAAATAACGCGTTGGAACCATTTGGACAAAATGTAAATTATTCTTGGGTCAAGTGCGTAAGTTATTATATTTTATCAAAGGACATTCAGTAGAATGATCGTAAAAATGGCCCAAAAAATTAAAACGTAAGGACAGATATATAAGAGACCCGTAGTTTCATTGCCTCGACTATACACTAAACCTGTATGTGGTTGCATCGCCCCTTCTATCGAGACGCGATTCTGATAGTGAGAAGAGACAACCGGTCAGTTCGACGCCGAATCGCTGTGGGGGTATATTCAAATCGAAAAAGTAGACAAGTGATTTGCTTTTCTTTTGCTGACAGGTATTATTCTAATGCAATAACGCGTGAGTAGTTTGGCAATCTATCCCTTTAATTTTGGTTAATATAAATTCAGTCTGGTTTCAAATTTAATTGGTTGGTGAATAGGTTTATATTTTCTTCTTTCCCCGATACTATTGAATTATAATAATATTATACCAAGAAAAACAGGACTCTTTGAAATATTTTAAGTTTTTTGCTATTAATTGCAAAGAATAGAGACAACTTCAGTATTATACCTTACTTAGTTTAAGCTACTAGGCATTTTTTCAATTAATACACGATTCTAATAATAGGTATTACACATTGAATATGGCATTTATAGTCTAGGTCCTCTCAATATTGACAATTAAATTCTTTTTTCCACTCCTTACTCTAAAATACCAAGTTATGAACTCATCAAGTATACTCGCGACACACGCTCGCGAGTCAATTCGACCGTTGCCGGCACTTTAGTTACTGACCAAGGGCGAACGAATGCCATTTCTGATGTCACTCTACACGTCATCGTGGCTAAAGTGTCGTTTATAAACTTACATAATATACCAAAACTGGCCACGTCGGGTCAAATAAACTTCTAATCGCTTTAAAATTGAAAAACAATTGCAGTGCTATATAAACATTTCTTGGAGAAATCATAATATCCAGAAATGTATGGGGTGTTCCTTTTAAAAAATGTATTTTTTTCGTGTCACTCTTTCATGAAACACGCTATATAATTCTAACTAGTTTGAAAATTCTGCTACTGCACCCTTTTGTATGTAATATTTTAGTGGTTTCCTTTTGTTTGTTTCTTTTTTCTTTCACTATACTTGACAACATCACTCTTTCAAAATATTTTAAAGGAATTCGAAAGCACATGTTTCTTTTTTATATGTTTATGTTATATGTTTCAGTCTCATATTTTGGTTTGTCCTCTATTATTAATTTATTTACTAACAATTATCTGTGAAGTTTAATTAGTTTTCGTTAGTTTATTTATGCTTTTTTTTTTCAGAACATCACAAGCGATCTGAAAAAGCATGCTACCGAAGCTATACGCCTCGAAGGCCAAGTTAATCTCCTAGGAGCCGATTATGAAATCAAAGAATTGGAAGCACATTTAGCAGGCATAAGAACCAGAATCGCAACACTGTTATCCCAGGCAGAAAACGGTAGAATTTTGGTGATGGTAAGTTTATTTTTATTCTTAAATTAAATAACTTACATTTCGTTTCGTTCGTTTATCACAATATGGCCGATTGTGTTAACTACAGCTATTAAAATAACAAAGTTTTGGCATCAAATTAAAATAAACGTTTGCAATGCCGCCCAACAAAATTATTCCAATTATAGCTTGGTTATTGGTTTATTTTCAAACCAATTAAATTATTTTTGGGACGTGTATTTAAGTCGGTGACCATTGCAGTATCTGTTGACTATCGTAGTGCTTTTATTTTGGTACATATAGCAAATACCGAATTTTAATTTTCTAACAGAGTGACTGATTGTAATGATACATTTTACAAATTTTAATTGATATTCAGCAGAATATTTTCAATATTTATTTTAGTTCTTTTAATAGCCTCTTTCCTTTTTCAGAGTGCACGTGATGCTAGCGTCAAGAAGCAACAACAAATCAATGAATATCGACAATTATTAACCGAAACAGAAAACTGGCTAAAAACTACAGCAGATACAATCAGAAGTTTCTCTCAGCCAAAGGACGAACAACAAGCAGAAAATTATATTATTCGCTGTAGGGTACTTAGCAACGAATTGAATGAAAATGAAAATAAACTTATAAAATTAAAAAAGACTTGCGAAGAGTTAAAAAAGTATTCGGACCTACAGTCTCTTGTAATTACGCTATTGGAACACCTGGAAGAGGTAATCGTCCTAATCACAGACCAAAAATTCATAGCAAATACTAGAATCAGAGCCTTACAAACAGAATTATTAAAATTGCAAGAGCCATTAAAAACACCCGACTTATCCCTTGAAGCTACTTTGGATTCGAGTTCTATGCCAATAGAAGAAATACAAATTCACGCGGATATCAAAAAGACTACAGAAAATTTTATCGCCGTTGAGAAGGTGCCTTCTGTAGTGCACATAGAAACTCAAACTGGAAGAAGTTTGGCGTCTCCTATTCCTTCACAAAACGAACCCCCGACGAAAGATTTTTCTGTTGATTATAACGAGCCCGTAGACGTGGAGATACAGACCCAAATGTCGCAATCATCAAATGGAGCGGAACCAATACAAAAGGAAACGATCACAATTTCGAAACGCACTTCTGGTGCTCAGGAAACCATTCAAATAGCAACCAAGCCTATGACGGACCCTCAACCCATCGTAGAGGAGCCGGACGACCTATTCGTGGAAGCCAATTACAAACGACGACCTGAGTCTGAAACGAAATTTGCCGAACTCAATATTAACGCTCAACCAAATCAGCCATTTGAAACGGTATTTGTAGAACCTGATGAAACTACCACAGAAGTTATAGTGGACGCAGATGGAAGCAAAAGAATTATAGTTAAAAAACTCCACAGAACAGTAGTTAGACAGCAACAGTCCTTGCAAAAACAACAATATACAACGTTACATACTCTTAGTGAAGGAGACGGGCCTGCAATAGCTCAGTCATTTTCTCAAATCACTTTGCAAGGTCAACAGAGCACTACATCAATCGCTAAAGGTGATGGCAGAAAAGAAACATTAACGTCTCAACAATTTGGAGGAAAAGTTATGTCAGGTGTTGATGGAGGGGATATTGAAGTGAGAGAATTTCAAACTGAACCGGAAATGCATTACACAGTGTTGGAGGGATCAAATAATCCAGATGAAGTCAAGCCGGAAGGCTTGAATCTTCACAAAGGCGACATTGCGCTAGTCGACAGTGAATTTAATAAAATAGTTCCAATAGACGAAGCTAATCTCGTTATGGATGAAAGTAAGATATGCACCTCAAGCTCAAGTGTAAAAGCAGTAGTTCAACAAGTTACTAGAAGAATAATAAGAAAAACTAGGAGAATAATTCGAAGAACAGTAATTATTGACGGCAAAGAACATGTAACTGAGGAAGTTATTGAAGAGCCTGAAGAAGTAGAAGTTACAGAAGAAGGGATACCGAGGGTGAGTATAAATGTCACCCGAACAGAAGATGGAAAAATTGTTCAAGAACAGCATTTTGGAGACACTCAATTTGAACATCCCGAAATTCCAATTAGCCAACAAACTAAAAGCATAATTCTGAGACCAGATGGACAATCTGTACCCACACCTTTATCAACTGACATAAAACCAGAGGATGAAATATCTATAGATGATCCAAATAAAGTATCTGTGCAAGAACAAAAGCTGAGGTACGTGGTAGAGCAAAATTTAGTTCATGAGCACAAAGCACAACAAATTGCACAGAAAGTAGACCCTACAATTAGCTCTACTATTATCAGTGACTTCATTGAGAGTGAGAGGGTATCCTATAGTCCACCAATTAGTAGTAAAGTTGACGCACCACAAGTTTTTGAATCAACACCTAATATCAAAGGAAAGAGTAAAAATACCAAAAAGGCTCCGAAAGACGAGCCTCCAGCAGAACATAAATCTGATGAAAGTAGTCATATGGTTGAAGTAGATACTCTCACCTCCACTGAGGAACCAGCACCTACAACTTTTCCAGAAAGGAATAAAAAGACCAAAACGGCTCCAAAAGACGAGCCTCCAACAGAACATAAATCTCTTGAAAGTAGTCATATTGTTGAAGTAGACACCCTCTCTTCCACTGAGGAGCCTCTAAAAGAACATAAATTTGATGAAATTATTTCTATTATTCAAGTAGACACTCTCCCTCTTACTGAACACATCATTTCCGCTACAATCATGGATGAAAAGCAGCCCTTAGAGGACACCGTATCTAAGGATGAAAATTTGACCATACCACTATTTGAGGTAACTTGCGAACCTCATTCAACAGTCGTACAAGAATTTATTACCAGTGAAACTCAGGAAATTAGCTCAAGACCCTCGCCCAAAACAAAAAAACGCAGATTTTCGAAAACCAAAAAAGGATCCGCTACTCCACGAATACAAAGTCCTGTTGAAGACACTTCCTCACAACTGGCTGAAAATGAACCTGAAACAATTAGTGTAATACCCAAAGAAAACCTAGGAAACTATCCAGTAAATCCTGAAATTAATGCAGTTATTACTCAGGAGAAGCCACTTGACGACTTGGAAGAAAAACAACCCAACATTTCAAAAATTGTCATTCAAACCGCTGTTGATAGTGACAGACAAGACAACTCGACAAATATTTTGAACGTTCTAGAAAGTGAAACAAAATTAATGGTTGAAGAATTGGAACGTCCCAAAGTTGAAGCAAATTCTGAGAAGTTAGAAGTAGATAAATTTGTGGATATAAGCAAAATAGTTCAGTCGGAGATCCATGCAATTGTATCAGAATTGCCTGAGCCTTCGATTGAAATAAAAGCTGCCGAAAAGATCACTTTAAATAAAACTGAATTTGCATCATTAGAACAAGATTCGGAAATATCACCAGCAGCTCCTATTACTGTAGCTAAATCAGTTCTTCCAGAATCAAACACAATTGTCGACAAAACGGTAAATATGGAGTCGAAAGGTGATATTGACTTAGAGATATTAACTGCTTCCAAACCAACCGGCGGTAGCGCAACCGCCGTTGAAGTTGAATTTACTAATTTGGAATACGAACCAATGAACAAAGAGGACCTTATACCAGAAAAAGTTGTTGCAGAAAAGGCGGACAAAACTGCGGATAATGATACAAGAGACAAGAAACCTGCACAAAAAAATAAATCGCCATCAGACAATATTTCAAGGAAACCAGTAACCTTTAAAATTGAAAAACCTGCGAAACAAATACAAACCTCCATCGACACTCCCCTACAGGAGGCAAGTTCTCAGGAAACTACTAAAGATATAGATATTAGTAACCTCAAATTAGGCTTACAATCCACAGTCACTTCAAGTTCTACAGAAATCGAAAATGTCGGACCACCAGTTCTTCAAGAATCGACCATCGATAGTCACGAAAATCATCAAAACACAACGAAATTAATCACCGAACCTTCCCAGAATGTTCAAATTACACTTTCGTTAGAGGAAAAATCAAGCAAATTTGATGAGGAGGCCGGCAAATCGGTTACGGAAACTGACAACTCAAAACTAACATCGATAACAGATTTCCTAGATAATGAAAGGAATAACATTGAAATGGCCTTAAACTTACAAGAAAAAGGTACCCGGCATCCTGATGAAGTCACGAAAAAGTTTAAGCCTGCTCAGAAGGTGGAATTTGATCTGTTTTTAGAAGAGAGGCAAATGGACCCCGAAATCTCAACGCCCAAAATATCTGTTAGTAGCAAACAAGAAGAACAAATTATCTCAAAAGAAATCAATATTCAGCTACCAAACGTTCCTGACATAAAAAGGGAAGATGGTTTTGAAGTAACTTCAAATAAATTTATCAGATCAGAAATAATCACACCTGTCATTCCGAAAGCCGAAAGTGATCATGAAGAACCATCAACGCCCAGTGATATAGACCATGGGGGTAGGAAAAGTAAAAAGAAAAAGAAACACAAAAGCACCAGTTCGAGCCCTATTCAAGTTGAACACCACGTTGTAACTAAAGACGAATCAGCAACGAATTCTTTGGCGGAGTCAACTGAAATTGTTATAACAGATTACTCTCAACTTTCTGAAGAAACTCCTAAACCGACCATAGAAAATTTGGATACTATCGTTATCGAAACTGATACTGAAGTTTCAGACAAGGCTCGAGACACCGGTTATGAAGCGGATAAGACTACATTAGATGAAAGTTTCACAGAAGAGCCTGATCAAGAAAAGAAAAAAAGACGCAAAAAGAAACGCGGTCAAAAAATTAAAGTTAAGGATTCAGAAGAATCATATATTCCGCAGTCCGCATACGAATCTTCTCATGGTGAATCTATACCTTTAACAGATGACGATGTTAAAAGGGAATCAACCGGAAAAACTGAAGAAGCATCAAAAAAATCAAAAAAACGTAGGAAGGGTAAAAAGAAATGTGAGGAATCTGATGCACAACCGTTGACCGAAGAAGAAATTGATGAAGAGCATGAAACAGCTGAAGTTGACTCTACGGAAGCGGAAGGTTCACCTAAAACTCATCCCATTGCTTTCCTAGCTCAGAACGAAACATTGGCATCTCCTACCGAATCAGTTGATACGTTATCAACGCAAACAGAACCAAGAACAGTTAGAATTATAGAGGAGAAAATTTTAAGCAGACCGGCTAGTGAATCTCCTCAAAATATTGTCACGGAAATAGTTAAAACAGTGCCGGTTTTAGAAACAGTTTTAACTCAAGAATTTAATACGCAAACTACCCCACTGCCTTTATCCCCCGTAAAATTATCAACGGACCAATTCATCGTCGAGGAAAAAGCACTCGCAGAATCAGTTTCTGCTCAAACCTCGCCCGAACCTATTGGGGAAACTAGCCACACTTCAATACAAACTATTGATAAAATTTTTACCGAAGCAGAAGTAATTGCTAAACCGGAGGTTGAAGAAACGGCAACCCAAGTTTTATCTGAAGTATCTGAGGTTATTACACAGACTAGTCCTAACGAACAGTCTTCACTGGAATCTGTTGGTAAAGTAACATTAGAAGCTTCAATTCAAACGGCAATGCAGGAACAACAAGAAACTATAGACGAGGAGGTACAAACATTTAATGGGCGTTTCACGGAAATGTCGAAAGTTGAATCGGCCGTTCAAACAATTAAGCCGGAAATTAAAGAAGATTTTGTACAAACCAACACTCCAGAGTCGATTTCTTCTATGGATATTTCTAACCAAGCACAACCCGAAACGACCGAGTTATCAATTCAAACATCACCTGAACCAGTTCAGGAACAAATTATAATCAGTTCACCAAAAGAAACAACGGAAACAGTTACCCAAACCTCTCCAGTGAAGGATAGAGGGACAGCAGATGCAATAGTGGTTGAAAAAGCCGAATCAATAACCCAGACGTCTCCCATAGAAAATGCAGAGGTATGCGCTGATCAGGTAGTTTCACAAGCTACCCATGACAAAATTGAAACTAGTGAAACTATCGTTCAAACTTCGCCTGTAGGAATATATGAAATAACAGAGGTTCCAACGCCTACTTCCAATTCGAGTAATATAGAAGACTACGAAATTCAAGTTAAAGCTCTTTTGACAGTACCGACGGATTCATCAGAAGCAATAAGTTTATCTGAAATTGCAGAACAAAAGATTACAAAATCAAAAGCCAAATCTACCTCTGATTACAGTTCACCCAGTGAATATTCGTCGGACGAATTTGATGTTCATATTAAAGTTGAAGATCAGTCACACAAATTCTTATTAAATGAAAGAAAAGAAGGCAGAGCCGAGAAGAAGAAAAGAAGAAAACAACCTGAACGGCGAACGGAAAATGAACCATTGGATGATAAGCAGAAGAATTTGTTCACGGTGTTCCATAGGCAAGCTTCAGGATTGGAAGTTACAAATTCTGAAAAACTCTACCCAGAGAAGCTACAGGGTTCCGTACCATCAACTCCAAAGGCAGAAGTATTCTCGAAAATAATTACCGATTTGGATGATGGCAAAGTAAAACAGCTAAAGGGTATTACTAAACCTAATACAAAAACAGAAAAAAATATTTCTGATCAAGAACATTTCCCAAAAGATTTCAAAGCGTCAATCAATATTAACTTAAACCAACCAGAAAACATTAAAGACGTCGAAATTACAAGCAGAGATCAGTTTGCAGTAATAAAAAATAATGATGCCATACCTCAAAAGAGTGCTTTCACTGTAGATACTGTTATTACAGAAGCAGAACTAAAGGAAAATACGCCTGAACCGGATGTATTGCAATTCGAAGCAAATCCAGATGTTGTTTCAACAGTGGACTTTTTACTACAGGAAATACAACCGGAACCAAATACCATTTTAATCCATGATGAACCTGTCAATCTTGATCAGTTAGCCGAGTCCGAATTATCTCAAATTACTAGAACTGAGGAATTAAAACCGAGACGCCCATCTAGATCCAAAGATAAGAACAAACACGTTCCCTCTGTAACAATAGAGGAAATCGAAGGGCCCGGATCTAAAGAAGTAGTACCATCAGTGCATGAAAAAGGTCCAGCAACATTTGAGGAAATCAATATCAAATGGAACCAAGCACAGTCATTAGAAAGAATGAAAAATTTACAAAATGCGAAAAAAACCACCCACTTATCTAACATTTTGTATTTCGCAACATTGAGTGAAGTGTCAACAGATCTCAGTATAGAACAGCGCACCGGCAATGTTGAACAAAATATAGAAATCTTGAAAGAAGCCGTTGGGAGAGGAGACGTAATCGTTATTCAGCAAAGCGTGATCACCACAGTAGAAACCATTACAACTTGGCTTGAGACAATAGAATACAGAATTTATGTAAATCGGCAGCAAACTTCGGATGGTCCTTCGAAGGAAAGAGTTGAGGAATTCGTTACATTAAAACAAGAAATTGCAAATATTGAAGACAAGGTTGATGAACTTCAGCTCGTGCTGCAATTGGCGGATCCAATTTATAACGAAGAAGACCGGGAGAGAATGAAAAGTTACCTGGATTCTCTTCAGCAACAAGTCAAGATTATCGAAGAAGTCACGGAAGAAAACGAACAGCTAGCTTCAGGTGACTTGAGGCGGTGGGAAGATTTTATTCACGGAGTATCCAATGTATCTGAAGGAATTCATATTCTACGAAGGCAACTGAGTGATCTCAAGGAGTCTGATGCTTCGCCGCAAACCAAACTGAATGAATTGGAAGAACTTGAAAACTCAAATAGGGGTTACATGTTAAAATGTGTGCACCTAATTACCACCGCCAAGAGTTTAATGAGAGATTTTCCTGGCAGAAAAATACCAAAAGACGTGTACGTTAATCACGATTTAACTAAACAATTAGAACATTCAATCACACTAGAACGAGATAAGGCTCTCCAATTCCTCTCTCTAGCGGACGAGTACGAACAAACTCTAAAAGAGTTCAGCCAGATTATAGAGATCGCCGAAGTTTTAGTTGAAAGTTCAATTACTGTTAAAAACTTGGAACACCTAGAAGATGAGATGCAGAACCATCGCAAATTTTTTGTCAACCTCAGTCACTGTCGAGCGATCTTAGAATCCCTAGAGGAGAACCTTGATTCCGAAACAAGAACCTGCCATTCCAAACTCCATCAAGATCTATACGAACGTGCTCGAATAATTCTTGATAAATCGACAGGAAGGTTTCAACTTATGTCTCTTGCAGCGTCTAGATGGACGATTCTGGAACAAGGTACCAGAGAAGAAATGAAATGGTTACAAGTCGCTCAGCAACGCGTGCCGGATCTAAATAGTGTCACGTCTTCCGATTATGATAGATATATCGATCTACACCATTCTTTAGCTGCCGACATTGCTCATCATCACGGAAAACTACAACATTTGAACGGCGTCGCTCAGAAATTGCAAGAGCTCGTGCAATGCGCTGGCTTAGAGCAAGCTTATTCGGAATCCCTGGAAATTATTACTAAACTTCAAGAAGATGTGCAAAACAATTTGACGCGACTCTTAGCATTTGGTGAATCGTGGACGAATTATAATATACTAAGTGACAAAATCGAGCTCTGGTTAAAAGATGCCCAAGTCCAGCTTAGACAGCTGGAAATACCTTCAGGCCCTAGAGGACATATGAGACAATTTTGGGTAAGTGTTGCAACGGACGATTTTCTATATATTTCCTATGATCAAGTGCTTTATATAATTTATTTAAATTTCAGGAACTCAAAGCCCAACACGAAGTACACAATGAGGCACGTCTAAATTCCACGAAATGCCTAGAGACGTCTCTTCAGATTGTTCCTATATCAGACGAAATGTTACAGCGCAAATTTCATTCGGAGTTGCAGTCAGAATGGCAAAAAGTAACGGACAGAATCAACGAATTACACAATTCATTTATCAGCACTATATCAGCACCCGATGTGCCTGTTAACGAAAAACTTACACTACTTGAGCAAGAACTGCAAGATCTTAAGTTAGATATCGACGGATTGGGTGGAGTGATAAAACGAGAAGAAGAATTAAGTCTTTACGTAGAGAGACTGCAAATTATGTCGTCACGCTTGGAAACGATTCAAAATGAATTGGGAAAACTCGGACTTTTATCGGTCACAGAATCCGACAAAGTCGGAACTCTCTTAGCCCTGTCCAAAAGGTTAGAGACCTCTATTAACGAAGAACTGGAAGGAGGAATACTAGTCAAGGAACGTCTTCAAGCAATTCAAAAAGGTTTGACTCGGGTACGACGCAAACACTCGGAATTAAGTAAGACCTTGGACGCATGTGAAGGTGCCGAAAAAATGGGCAGCGATGCATTGGAGAAATCCATTAGCGAGTGTTACGAAGTTGGCGAAGAATTGGTAACTCTCTGGCAAGACTTAATGGGTTTAAGGCAGCTGTTGCACACTTTACCAATGAGGCTTAGAGCTACAGTGTCTCCAGTAAAAGTGGAGAGAGATATTTCTCAACTGCAGGATGATCACACATCATTGGAGAAACGATGCGGTCAAATATTAGCGTTGTTGAGAAGTCGACTGGTACTTTGGCAAAGATTCGAGCGTCAGTTGGAACTCGTACAACAAAGCGTCCAGGAAGCCGACTTCATGATTGAGATTTTGACTGTTCAAGGAACTGTGGACTATGAAAGACTAAGAAAGGCAACGGAGCGTCTAGAGGTGAGTCTGTTTTATGAGTGTATGATAACAAAGGGAAACTAATTTCGATTGCATCGAGAAGTTCGAATATTTTCTATTTAGTTGTTTCAATTTCATAAATGAAAGCAAAAAATGGTAAATCTTAACCAAGATTTGTAATTTTTTTGAAATCTGGAATTGCGTTGATTTGCGTTGGGTACAATTTATATTGCCCTTGCACCACAATTCATTGTCATTTTTGTGATGGAAAGAGATTTTTCTCTTCGTCTTAAATAAGACAATGAGGGTCAGCCTACTCTTCTATTCTTGTTTTCTTTAACTTTGTACCTGCTTATATACATTCTTAAATAAAAAAAACTTTTCTTAAAACAATTTGTAAAATAAACTCAACGACGATTACGTGACCTAATTTTGCGTAGCTTTAAATTCGACACTTCTTTGCTGATGTTAGAATTATAATGTTGGCTGAATTACAAGGTCAACACCTCGGAACGTCTTTGGCATTTTTTGCATAGAATGCGTTTTTTCAAAAATTAGAACTAAAGATAAAAGTTTAAACGATAAAATAACACCAGCGACGTGTAAAATAGGGATACTGTGACTTTTTTTACTTCCTTACTTTTCCACCACTGATGCGTAGACCACAAGACAAGGAAAATAAAAAATAAATATAGAAGTTATTGCTTACGTAACTTCTTGGACTTTCTTCAACTGCCGTTCAGTTGACGATTCGATCTTAAGAAAAATTATATTCGGGTTAACGATATCAATGTAAACGAATAAAACGATGATTTTAATAGTAAATTAACATTCACGTGTTTTGTCAGGAAGAAATTTTTGTTCAGTAGTGCTATATTGGCAGTCTGATAAGAAAAATTATCGCGGTAGCATGTTTTATATTTTGGTGGTTTGCAAACTTGTTACTATATTTAAACGAACAACCAGTGTTTAAATATAGTAATTAGGTAATTAATATTTCAGTGGGCAGCAGCCGCAATAATCAAATAGGAATGAAGATTCCATTTTCTAATTTAAGTTATATGTTTTTCAAGATTTGGATTTTTTCTAAACCAATTTGGCAAAACAAAAAAAAAACGAATAAAAAAAGTCATTTTGATAAATAATTGTTTGCCCATTAAAAAAGGCTTCGATTATTATTGAAATGGATAAGCAAACAAACGGGCGACAAATAAAAATCCTTGCAGCTCAGTGAGTCGATTCGAAATTGGAATCGGCGCTCGGCTCAGTCCGGAACGAGATGTTATTCGCAGTGTATCGTCAACGTGGTTTTAACGTTCGCAAATGTTTTTGTGAAAACAACCGGATAAGCAAATTAAAACGGCATATTTAAATATCAAAACGATGTGACGATTGCTCTTGCATTTGTTTTATATGATTGACTAACAGCGAGCTCCTCATAAACTCTAGAAAAAACAGTCTGTTTGGTGTACTCAAATTTATTATTTTTTTAAATATGTGTGCTACGGAAATATATGTTAATATTGGGTAAATATTTGTTTACTTTTCTTTTAATTAATAACCTATATATTTTTTTTAAATATATGAAAGATTATAATATTATAATACATATATCATTAATAAATAACGTGGTAAATGCGAATATTTCACAAATTCGTGTCTTTAGGTGTACCCACGTATTGCGTATAATTTTACGATGAATCGGAAAATGAATTTGTATATAAAGTGATTAAAAAAAACGGTTTGCTTTTTCCCTGTATATATATATATATATATATATATATATATATATATATATATATATATATATATATATATATATATATATATATATATTATTGAACAGCTATTAGACAGTTTAACGGGGACGACATTACAGATAATCGGTACCATACCAGTCAGTATCAGTACACTGTACCCAATCTCATTATTTGTTGAAATTTATTGTTTATACTAGGCTTAAAGGGTGACAAAAAAATTGCGAAATTGCATTTAATGTCATTTCCATTAATAAGTTACTTAATATATAAGATTCATAAACTAATCAAAACTATAGAAATACAAACATTTCGCAGCCTAAACTTTAATTTGGGTTTCCAAGAATGTTTCCACCAAGTGCGACCCTGTTTTCGAAAAAGACAATTTTCGATCATTCTTCCGAATAATTAAAAGCGAAGTGAACATTTTCAATTCAAATTAATAACTTTTATTCATATTTTTTCAATTGCGATTTATGTTTACTGTACCGGTGACTCAATCTTCGCAATAAAATCGAAAGCAATTTTGGGCCTAATAGATTGTTGACCCTATGCGCCGTAATTGACTTAGGACCGTATAAACAAATTGAATATTAAACGGTATTTCTTTCTTTCATTGTTACTGTTATCTGCTTTGGTCCCGTATTAACTGCCAATGTTTATTGTTAATGGCAGAGGTTATTTTAAATATTACTCCATCAGTTTGCCACATTGTGTTGACACAAGTAAAAGTTTATTTACGTTTTTTTAATTATGTCTGCCACGATAATAAAAATTAGTGAAATTAATTTGGCAAGTTTTAGGAGCATCCCGAATTTATATTATATATATTATCTTCGACATATATCGTGGCCCATTAAAGATTTCTAAAATTGATTGATGAATTGATGTATTAAGACAAAAATTGCATTCAGACACAAATTTTATTTTTTTATTAACAATTAAACAATAAAGTTATAACAACATAAATTGCGCCTGACTATTTATTTAATACAAGAACCACACTGTATAAGGGCGCGTCACATTATGCTGTTGGGCTATGAAATATCTTTAAATACCGACAGTTGTATACAAGTCCACGATTTCAATTTAAACAGTCACAATATCTCGATCTAAATATAGAAGGCCCCACTGAAATTCAACGGAATTCCAAATAAACAGTTTTAGAGATTAAAGCATCTCGTTCTCGTTTTGAAGGATTCGATCTTCTACTTTGATTCAAAACAAATATACCCCTATCGATCAATAGACGTTTGCACATTCTATACAACGCAATGCTATAAAAAAAAAACTAGGCTACCGAACGATTGTTCTATAATTAAATTTAAAATTCTAATAAAATAGGTCAGGTTTTTCGGGTCAAAATGACTGCGTTATTTTCGTAAGGTTAATGCTATAGTTTGGAGCAAGTAAACTTTTAATGCATTGACATTCCTTATGTTTTGCTACCAATATGCAACAGGAACTAAGTAGAAACACTTATTCTTACTAACAGCATCTAACTACAAGCGAAATTACAATGGCCCCTTTTTCTTTATTTGCCACACTTCTATAGCTCCTTCCTTTACCTCGCCAGCTCGTGTCTTCTTCTTTTAAAAAACCATTTTTTGAATTTTTTTGTTATTAATTTTATTTTATTAATTTTATTAGTGTATTGGAAATGTTGAGATTCGCTGGTAGAAATAAATCGTATTGGGGGGCATTATAAAATTACACTTTAACTTTATAGGCCAAAGCATCGGTCAAAATACTTAGTGCGAATTAACAATTTTCAGAGTGTGTCGGGAGATTTAGTTTCTCGCGAGAGTTTAGTTTCGGAACTCAAAAACGTTGCGCAGCCTTTAGCCGACACGTGCGCAGAAGAGGTGGCATCGAAGGTCCAAGCCGCCGTAGAAGAGGCCGTCACCGCTTACAATACCACCTGTAGCAATTTGAAAGAACTGTGCACCAAGTATCAGAACGCTGCCGAACTTTGGAAACGGTACAAGGATGCAAGCGATCTTGTAAAAGAATGGATTGAGAATCCTATGGAGTCGGTCGACGGTTTGCCCCCAGAAGAAGCACTCGCGAAAGTAAAGGTAAATAAATGTGAATTAAAATAAAGTTATATTACATATTTCTCAAAAAATTGCAACTGGCGAAACTACAAAGGAAAATTTCAAAAAATGTTCCTCTCCAGAACATAGTTTAAATTTTTGCCTAAATTAAGTGCCTTAATTATTTTTTCTAGTGTACCACATGCAGCATCCCCTTTAAAAATATCGATTACTTAGGATCGGAAATCTTCCCCACCACACTATGTAAAAATACTTTCGTATCTATACCGGTTCAGGTTTGCTCGCCATAGACTGTCGTCTGACCCAAAGTAAACGTGTGAGGGTGTATTTTTAGAACTGAATTGTGCAAATTTTATTTATAAATCGAGAATATTCTAGTTTTGTGTTTTCGGTCAACAGCTTTACCGAGAGTAGCAAAATAAGTGCCTATTTAAATGTGTACTCCGGAAGAAGTGAAGGTTTTTTTTTTTAATAAAAATTTTGTTCCTGCGTTTATAAGTTTCAATATAATTAAAACAAAATATAAGCAGTATCGCTGTAGTTAACCTCGACTAACCAGAAGCTTTAGCAATTCTAGAAAAAACCTTTTGGTTTGAAAATTTCGTTCTTTTGGATTTTTTTTATACTGAAGACTTCGGTTTGTCGCACAGTTTATTGTACGATTCGTGAGGTCGATTTTTGTAGCAAGATGGCTCCCTTTAATTACGCTCACACTGGTCGGTGATAATTAGACATTATTGTCATTAACTTTTGGGTGACTACGTCTTGTCACCGAGTATTTAAAAATTATCGCTGGTATTCTGCAAAATCTAAATGTTCTTCTTTTCTACCACCCATTTTTTTGTCAAGTTTGTATAAATATAACTTGAAGAACTAGAGGCCAATAAAACGAAACTACCGTAAACTAGAACTACCGTAAAAGCCGGCCAGAATTTTTTAAGACTGCTTTATTAACTTAACTTGTAGTGTTGAAAATTCGTACCAGCTGCAATGAAAGTGAAGCAGTATTCGCGTGTCCCGAAAATCGAAGAAATCCTTGTGTTTAGGATTTCTATCAAGATTTAATTGAAAACACCATGCTCTAGAGGACTAACGGCCAAGGTTAATGGGTGAAAATTTTCTGCCATTTGAGCGATTAAATCATTATCGAAAGTTCGAGTTTCCGTTAAACAACCTGCATTTGATTGCTTCCATTTCAATAAATTTTCATATTAGTCTTACAATTGCAGTCCCAGGTGAGCATTTTCTAAATTTCCTATTAATAGGAAAATATGACGTTGAAATAAAACAATTTCCGGCAATTGGACGTGCGTCAGGCTGTTTTCTATTTCATAAAAATATGAAACTCAAGTGGCTCGAGAAAGTTTAACTTTTGTGCAATTTCCGACTTGAAAATATTTTGCGTGCACAACTGCAGTATTATTAATTTTTTTGGCAAACATCTGAAACGCAATGCCACGCGTTGCACTTACCAAATAACGATAGTAATTACGAGTCATAAATAAAAATTTCGTTGCATGTTACGTTCATAAACGCTACTAAAAGTGAATTTACCGATATTCCAGATTAATGAAATTTTAATTACGTATGCAAAAAATAACCCTTAATATCATTAACAGGCAAAATTGAAGAATGGTAAGAGCTAAATTTTGATAGATTCAGTATGTATAAACAGTATCACCATAACGATTGGTATTAATACCAGAAGCAAACATTTCTAAAGCAGTCTTCTTTTTCCCGCCAAAGAAGGAAATTTTTTTGGCATTTGCTTTTCAATTTGAGGACACTACTTGCTTCCCAATAGTTGTGAGTAGAAACAATAAAGTACTAAAAAGTTCTTACATCAGTACTTGGATAAATTATCTATTTAAGACTATTTCATTCATTCATTTATTTCAAGGACACAAGTTCATATATGTGTCTTAAATGTCTTAAATAAAAGTTATCTCTTGCATTTTTCTTGTCAGATGCACCATTTTTTATTAAAATAATTTAATTCAAAGTGCAAAAGTTCGCCACACTAATAATTTTGTTTGATACGCATGACTTATTTAACTTAACTTGTTGACTGTAAACTTGTTTATCTCAAATATTAAATCTTTTAGGACCTCAAGTAGATATGAAGATTTTTTCATAGAATATAGAATATAGCTAGAATGCGAAAACCAGACAATATATCACGGCGGTCATACCTAAGAAAGTCTTAGAGCAACCTTGTTCGAAAAGAACCGGGTATATTTTAAAGTGAGACAGACGGGTTTCTTTCTAGCTGTCTTCACTTTTTTTAAATCCACAATATTTTGCAGTGTTACCGGCTATTTGTTAATATTTTTTATGAATTTCTATTGATATTAGTATCTTATACAATGAATTCAGTATTGTATTCAAATTTGGCAAAAAATGTTTCTTTGTTGAGAAGAAAATACATATACATATACATGAATGAACCGTAATTTCTTTCAGTTTTACATTAATAAGAATAAATTTTCTGCTTAAACATTTTGAAACTTTATTTTGTACGAATACAAAGAAGGAAACTAGCCAAACACGGAAATTAACTATCTTTCTATACAGCACCACGAAGAAGTCCTGTCCGCTCACACGAGACGTCTCGCGGATCTTCAGGAGTTGGTGTCCGATATAGCATCGGCAGTTGGCTTGGACGCGAAAGCTTTGTTAGGCGGTGAAGTGGAAGCGCTAGGTAAACGCCTTGAGGATGTCCGCCAGTCCCTCACGGTTCTCGCGGACATCGCGGAGGCCAAATCTAGGACCAAGAACGACTCCGACAACGAAATTGCGGACACCAAGCATTACTTAAACTCCGTGCAAAAGGTAAGAGATGATTTTTGGTAGCGTTTTCAGTTCGTATAATCAACTTGACTTTCAGAGCATCGGAGATATACAACAAGGTGATCTAGATGCAGACACCGAACAAAAGCTACAATCATTAAGAGACCATATCGTAGCTCTCGGCAAAGCGGAATGTCAAATTCAAAAAATCAAGGATAAAACTCTTGAGATATCGACAACAAAAACAGACACATCTGTTGTGGAAGTTTTGGAACTTTGGCAGCAACTTTTCAGGGAAACTTTCCAACAATATCACAGGTTAAGCGCCAGGCTTGTCAAGAATGAAGATGGTGCAGCGGCTTTGCGACTGTGGCAGGAATATTTGTTTAACGTGCAACAATTCCTCCAAGGAACCATACCTGGGGATTATCAAAGCCTTTTCGAACATCAACATTTGTGTCAGGTTCATCAAAATCTTTTAACGACTCAACAAAATGTTCTAAATCCAGTCGATTTAAAAAGCAAGCAATTGGCTAGTGGATTAGTCGAGTCTAGCGTTATGGAACAGTTTAATTCATTGACTAATCTTCATAACGAAACACTATCAAGGATCATGGAAAGACATAATGAGGTTCAAATACGACTTGACACATGGGAAAAATATAGAGCCGACCAGGGTATGTTACTGGAGTGGTTGAAGAACTTGGAAAAGGAACGTGAACATATGCAGCTTAGATATTTACATGTCAGACGCATCCCAAAAGTTATGAACAAAATACAAAACCTATTGGAAAAAATTCCGCAGGGAGATAAGCAGGCACAAGGCTTGCAAGGGCAACAAAATATTATTTTGCAGTTCTGTGATGACGCTCTGGCCACTTCCATTAGAATGGAACACGCTGCTATAAAACAAAGAATCTCTAACCTCCAAGCTGGCCTGGAAACATGGAAGCAATTTTTGGAACGTATTTCGAAACTAGTCATTACCCATGAGGATCGCGTGAAAGTGGTGCAAAAGTTATTTGATGGCATCCAAGCTATTATCAATGAATCTCAAAGCCAGTTGCCAGCGTCGCATGCCGGTATTAGCAATAGGCTAGAGATACTTCAAAGAACAAGAGAAAGACTGAACTACGCTATCAAAGATTTGGAGCAGTTAGGTTTAACACAAGAGCAATTGAAAGAGTGCCTTAGTCCGTCAGACATAAAAACTATCAATCAAAGAATGTGGCTGTGTTGGCATCAGCATGGTGATCTGGATCACCAGCTGTCGAGGATATGCCATCAATTAGAAGAAAAACTAGGAATTAGATCTATGTTTGAAACCAGACAGGCAAGGTTTATTGCCTGGGCTGATGAATTAGAACGACGATTGGACCAAGAGACTGATAAAAGCCAAATTGATCCAAAAGAGTTGCTACGAAAACTCGAAGTGGAGTTACAGGCAGAAATGGCGTTAAAAGGAAGAGAATATGATTGGTTGGTTAGAGTGGGAACCGAACTTGTTGAGTGTTGCGGAGAAGAATACGCAGATGTTACAGCAAAACAAATCATTCAGGCAAGGACGGATGACGTTCAAACAAGATGGGAGAGATTAGAAAATCTTGGAAAGAGTCGAGCTAACAAAATTCACGATACTATTCAAACAATGGTTCAACTGGAGGAAAGGATACAACAGATAAGAGCATGGTTGAGTCAAATCGAAGTTCAACTTGCAAAACCTGTAGTTTTTGAATCATATAACAAGGAAACTATTAACAGAAAACTTCTAGAACATGAAAAATTGAAAAAATCTATCGAGAATGAAAGCGGCAACATTGGCGAAATATTGAACTTATGTGAGCTATTGTTAGTTGATTCTACCGTTTCTAGAACTCATTTTTCCACTGAAAATCTAACTAACGCTATCCAAAATCTAGAGAAAAGGTGGAAGATTGTTTGTGGTCAATCGGCTGAGAGAAAAAGAATGATTTCTTTTGTTTGGAAGTTGTTGCAAGAAGTACTTAAGCTTAGTTCAGAGCAGGAAACGTGGATTTCAGAGAAGGAACAAAGATTAAAAGAGTGTGATAGGCACCTTCAAAATCAAAATAAAGATGAGCTACAGCAATTAATTTACCAAATCGAAAATGAACTCAAGGATATAGAATCTCGGTCACCAGCTTTGCAAATTTTAGAACAGACATACTCCAAATTAGTCAGAGTAAGCGGCACTGAGCCGGAGAATATTCAAGAACTAACGTCACGGGCACGAGTAATTACAGCTAGGTGGGATAATCTTCTTCCAAAAGCTAGAAGCATACTTCAAGGATTGCAAAATGAATTGGCACCTTTTAAAGACTTTGCTATTGCACACGAAGACGCTGTTGTCGAATTGAGTAAAATCGACGGAATGTTAACTGAACTACAACATTTGGAAAACCCTAAAAACGTGCCAGCAAAAGAACGTCTGAAACGATTAGAACAATTGGAAAGTTTGTTTAGTTGTCAAACCCCCACCTTGGAGGCTGCAGATCAACTGGGACTTGAGATCATGCAAAAGAGCAAGCCGGATGAAGTGAAGCGGATACAAGAGATGATAGACGAATATCAGGTTCTTTCTAAAGACATTTCGGAGAGGATAACAATTTTGAAAACTGAACTACAAACAGAAATTCTGACGATTCCTAGAGAGATTGATGAAAGTGTACAAGTAGAGACCTTGAAGTTTGAACAAGATACCGCCGTTCAGGTCAACACTCTTCCCCTTCAGTTACAAAGAATGACTTCGATCAGCGCAAAGGACGCTTATTTGGTTGAATTGGAAGCTGGCATTAGTGAATGTAAGGCAAACCTCAGCGAACTCCAAACCTTCGTAGATAAGGAGATCCCAAAGCAGGGTTCATCCGAATTACCCATCAGCGGAAAGAAAATGGCAAAACTTACTGCTAAGTCGCAAGCAAGCGTGGAATTGATTACTCATTTGAACAATCTGCTTCTAAATGAATGCAACGCATCAACTGAAGAAGCTTGTTCTGAAGAAGTCAACACTCTTACTGAAATATTCCAAACTTTACTGGTTAGAGCGAAAGAAAAGGAGGATAAACTAAGGGAGCTAAGGTGAGTTGACATTAGAAAAGTTATTTTAATTCTATTTACACCTAATTGTGGTTTGGTTTCCATAATAATACTAACCGGTGTTTGTTTCTTAATTTTTCTGCAGAACTACTATCTCAGATGCTTATAACCTCCTATGCCAACAGTAAGTAGATCATTTTCTTGATATAGAATTATACTCTTATGCATTCCCGTGTTAGATGGTGATATAGTAAGTTCTAAAGCTTCTCAAGAACTTAATGTGCAACTACTTATTTAAGTTATGTCTCACTAAAATAATACTGTTAAGTGAGATAACCAAAAGCAGAATGCAACTTAAAAAACATGCTTTTACGAGAGTGGTTAGTAGTAAATATAGGGGGATGGTATTTCCAATAAATCAATTTTATCCCAGCTCAGAGTTTGGAATCGGGTGTTTTGTACAAATTGTATGTTGGACACTTGCTGATGCAGTATTGATGTTTGATTGCTTATAAACACAACTCTGAGTGCAAGGCACAGGTAACAGAGGTGTACTGTATTTGTGACAATAAACTCGATCTAGAGAAAAGTAAGGCAAATTTTACTATAGAAGGCGACTAGTGATGGGGATTATTGTTTTTTTCTTGTTCATTTATATAAATGCTCCATTTACCGGCAGATCTTAAAATATATTTATAAAATAAAATTTCTAATAATCTAATTAAAAACCCTTCGAAAAAATGCATACATTTGGATATATTTAGCCATTCAAAATATTTAACTCTTTATTTAATGTTTCAAAAATAATGGGAAATATTAAATATTTACCCAATATTTTTATTTCCAAATAATGAGCACAAATATACGTTATCAAATCATACAAATGTTAAAGTCTGACTTACAATTTTCATTAAGTTATTATTTATTTATAAAACAAAATCAGGTCCTGTAAAATGTAATTATGAATACACAAAATTAATATTAACAGCATTAACGCAGTACTGTCAAGTTTTTAAATAATGATATGACTTATAAGAAGGTAATCAACTGATTTACATGAGATATTCACAATTATTTACTAAATCGTAAACTTGAATACATTAATTTTAACACTCCATAAAATGGACTTAATAAATTAATATTTTGGTATAATATTAACGAAACGGGTGCGAAACAAGGAATCGTATAAAGGGAAAAACCTTGTTTCGGGAGCACCATTTTAAGCAGTATATTTTGTGAATAATCAATCGTAATTTTTTTTTATTAAATTAAAACTCGATTTAAAGGTACGTCCCCTAGAGGCCCATATCTTTGTAGTGGTAAGCTTGTAGAAAAAAGTGTATAGAAAATTCCCCACATTTTCCTAGTAGAAATTGTTTTTTTCCTCTACTTAAGTTTCTAATAATATCATTTTAATGAATCCATTGCCCCTTTATATACTTATTTTTAAAACACCAAAGCTCGCAATTGCAGTGTTTTTCTTTACAAAAACCAGATGTCAATCTATTTATAGTGGCAAATAAACATTCTTCCTGTCTAATCTAATTTTAATCTTACCAAACAGTGAAGCTGGTCGACTATTGTGTCCATTGTGCACTAAGCGCAACTGGGCCCAGTTGGACAATGATCTATGGCGTCTAGAGAAGTGGCTGCAGGTCGCAGAAGGTACTTTAAAATCGCTTAAAAACCTGCCGTCAAATATTGAGCAGTTGGAGGACATCATTCAAGATCACCATGAATTTTTACTCGATTTAGACAGTCATAAGAGCATTATAAGGTCACTGAATATCGTGGGAACACATTTAGCAGACCACTCTGAGGATTCTGCTAAAGGTGAGGAGCTGAGATCTAGGCTAGAAAGTAACAACAGAAGATGGGATACCATATGTAGAACAGCTACCAATTGGCAAATCCAATTGCAGAAAGCTCTCATGGACGTAAGTTTTAATTGTATTATGCTTTAAATTTTGCATAGATTATATTACTTTTAAGAATCAACAATTTCACAACATCATTGCCGAACTGTGCATTTGGCTAGAGCGGAACGAGCGTAAAATTCGCGCTTCAGAACCGGTAGATCTTACAGCGTCAATCGAAACCATCGAAGCGAAATTCCAAAACTTCCTCGAGCTCAGAGCAGAACTGGAGAGATGCGAACCACGCGTTTTGAGCCTCCAAGAGGCCGCCAACCAGTTACTCCGCGAAGACGACGCTCCAGAAGGTTCGTCCGTGATTTGTCGGCGACTGACAGAGTTGAGGCTTAAACTTCAATCATTAATAAGACTGACAGTTGTATATACGTTGAAATTGGGAGCAGTATTAGGTCGAGATCCTAACGAAATAGGCATGGCTATGGTAGCCAGTTCGAATACAGGTTCTCCGTTGCAAGCCATTAACTACGATGTAAGTTTGCCTAGACGTTGCGTTATTTTGTAGAGTTGTCTAGTCTGGTGACCTTTGTAATTAGAAAACTAAGCTTTGTTTGTAGGTAGCAGGTTTTTTTCATGTTTTTGTCATTGTATTAGTTTCGAAAAAAAAAACTAACGAGTGTTTCTGTTAGTGTAAGGTCCGCTCTGTCAAATTTTTTTTTTTGACAGAACGCACTTGCTGCTATTTGTAGAGTTTGATTTTATTTTGAAAGCACCAATTATTACTTCCAATTTATATTTATTGTAAAAGACTCTTTTAACTGCACTATTTCACATTCCTTTGCGTTTTGGACAGCTTTTGGACCAAGCCAGCGGGGACCATCCATCGACATCGGCACAGGGCGATGACGCTTCCAAGTAAATATTTTTTTCTTATTTATTTTTATATCTTAAAATTCAATCTGTATCTTATATCACAATTAAAAAAAAAACTGCAAACCTTCGTTTTTTATAAAATACCGATTGAATTAATGTGTGTGTTTGTTTTACTTGTAACACGCTTTAAAGCGCTATATTCACAAATTAAGCATTAGTAAGCTTTAGTTAAGTCGCCACAGCATCAGCGTTAGAGATTAATATTATTATTATACAGTATTCCTAACGTTGCGATAGGCAATATTCAATGCCCTAATAAGAGAAGGCAATAGGATATGCCACAGACGTACACTTGATGATTCTCCTTCCATTGGCTCAGCGCCACGGCAGTGGTTAAGAGTGGTCAATGAAATGGTTAACTGTTAATTAATATTTAATAAAGATAGTTTAGGTATTACCCGTCATTCATTCTTGCAATATCTACATTTAAATACCTTAGGTCAAGCATTAAAATATTAAAATATAGGAATCTAAATAAATTTAATTGGAAGCCTAGTTTAATTTTAACCCGCCTCAATTATTTTTCTTATATTATAAAAAAAGTGCCACTCGGCTATAATGTTGACTGCACTATATTAAATATTTTTGATCAAACCAACCAACTAATCAGAATATCAATTTGGAAAACTTCATTAACTTTTTGAGTGTGCTTTCGGTTCATCTATATCTTTCTGCAACTACCTATATATTTGAGTGGCATTGCAACACTAATATGGTTTCTTTTAATTTTACAGTGGCACTGCAGATGACTCGCAGATTAACACGTCTGTCTTAAGACGCGGATACCGTTTCTTGGGTAGAGTCGTCCGAGCGTCTGTACCAATTCAAGCTTTGATGTTATTACTACTTGGAGCCGCTTCATTGGTTCCCTTTAATGAAGATGATTACTCTTGTTCTCTAGTAAACTCAATAGCTAACAGTCTAACTCCGACACTGAGGTACAACGACGGGTCGCCCCCGATTTAAAATACTCAATAACACCCTCTAGTTTGTAGTCCAGAATTCATTCCATTTTTTTACAAAAAATTGAAATTTTGTTACAAGATTACCCGCTCTAATTTAACGATCGTTTGAATCCTTTTGTACTTTTGTTACTTAATAAGTTGTAAGTTTTTTTATTGTAAATAATGTGACTTAGGACTTGTACTAAAATATCATGGCAGCTTTGATCATGGTATATACCTATAAAACTAGCTACGCCTACAACAAATGAGACGCTTTATTATGTGACAAAGCTGTTTAGTCAAATGTGATGCCCAAAATAGACTGTCTCAATGTATCCATATATTTACGGCAAGAAGGAATGTAAATTTATATTACTTGTATATTGGGAATAGTGCACAAATAAGTTTAATATATATTTTATATCGTTGTTTTATAGTTATGCAGGATGGTTGTGTAACCGAGAGATTTTAATTTCTAAATTAAAAGTGTGGAACACTTTCGTTATATATTTTCCTGTATTTATCCGCCCAATAAAATTGACAGACAATTGCGCTGGATGATCTCTCCACAGACAGTGCAGTGTGTTCCTCCAATGCGACCGAATGGGTTTTGTCAAGTTTGGGTCTAGCAACTCAGCGACACTTTATATTTTACTGTTACTTGCGCATAATATTTTATACTTATTATCTATCTGTGCTACTTTCTTTAGGCAATAACATGTCATTATAGTTGCTTTATTTTTTGTTTAGAATAATTTGATCATTTAATACAATACAGGATTGTTTTCGCATAAAATTATATACCACATATTACGTTTTCATTTATAAATAGTATAATAAAAAAATTGTTTTTTTTATTGAGCCACAAAAAGACCTTACGAAAACCAAAATGCAAAATAGCTATTTTGAAGCTGTAAGCGAGGCTATAAGTGGTACTATTACAATGGAGAAGATATATTATCACTTGCCACACATTTTCCGAATATATATATATACAGGGTTTTTCACTTAAAACTCCGCACGCCAATAACTCCAAAACGAAAAGAAATATTTAATTTATGTAAAAAGTAGTCAAAGTGTGGGGTCAAGTAGATATTTCCTAAAGTTTAAAAAATTCGACGCCTGCAAAGAGCTGGGCGTCGCGACGCGTCGAAAAATTATTCGATTGCAGAGACTTTGGAAATACGCGCATACAAAAGTACATATTATTTAAAAACTTTTTTGTTATTTACTCAAACTTATTTACTTTACCCGTTTCTAAGTTATACCGATTTAAAGTAAACATTTCTTGATTAATAAAAAATGTGATTAACGCTTATTTTTACAAGTATGCCATGAATGTTAGTTACTATGGCAACCATTGTTATCGCAGTTGTCTTAAGTGCAATTACAAACGTAAGTTGTTATTGCTGTATCAAAAAATTGTCACATTTTGTCACAAGAAATATCCAAATTTGTTCGGTTTAAAAAAAACTAAGAATTATTATGTGAAAATGGCGCAATTTAGCAATGAGGAAAAAGTAGACATGTTACTGGTGTTTGGAGAATGCAGATGCAATTGTAGAGAAGTAAAAAGAGTTTACGCACGGCGTTATCCGCATAGAAGAGTCCCCGATGCAAAAACCTTTTCAAGTTTATGTAAAAACTTAAGAGAATATGGCAGCATCATAAAACCTAAAAGAGATAGCAACAGGACGGCTACAAATGATGAAAATACTGCTGCTGTAATTCAGAAGAAATTATGTTACCATAAGTTCTTTGTGGAGAATTCTACATAGAAACTCTTTTCACCCGTACAAAAGTAAACTAGTTCATAAACTAGAACCAGGCGATTATGCTAGAAGAATGTATTACTTAGCGACATTGTCCGATTTGTATAGCCAAGATGCAAATTTTTCTCTCGAAAATTTTATGGAGCGACGAAAGTCGATTTCAAAATAATGGAATCGTTAATAGACACAACTGTCGTTTTTGGTCCGAAAACCGTCCTCGTTGGATTACAGAAATAGGTAACCAACGAATTTTTAGTATCAATTTTTGGTGCGGCATATTAAATGGATTCCTTATTGGACCTTACTTTTACGAAGGAACTTTAAATGCAGATCGCTATTTAAGATTTCTTCAAACTACACTTCCGGAACTATTAGAAGTGCCTCTTGACACTAGAATGAATATGTGGCTACAGCAGGATGGAGCGCCTGCACATAATGCCCAAATAGTAACGAGGTATTTGAACCGAAAATATCCCAATAGATGGTTTGGTACTAATGGAACCGGTAAGGTGGCCGGCGAGGTCCCCGGACATTACACCACCAGATTATTTTCTTTGGGGCTACCTAAAAAACGTTATCTATGAAGAACCTATCGAAGATATGGCTGATCTCATTAACAAAATTAGTGCAGCGTGTGCCGCTATCACAAGAAGGACTCTCCTACAAGTGACCCAAGCTCATCTGTTAAAAGTTTTTAATAGTTGTGTTCGAGCAGATGGACATAATTTTGAACAAAATTTTTGAAATGTCTTATTATGTAGTTAATTGCAATAATAATTTTGGTTATTAACTTGTAGGTATTTTACTGTTTTTTCATTTATTTATCATGTTATCAGAACTAAATCGATACAAAATAATAAATCAAATCATACTAAAATAGTTGAAATCTATTGTTTGTAATTGCACTTAAAATAACGACGATAATAATGGTTGCCATAGTAACTAACATTCATGGCATACTTGTAAAAATAAGCGTTAACCACATTTTTTATTAATCAAGAAATGTTTACTTTAAATCGGTATAACTTAGAAACGGGTAAAGTAAATAAGTTTGAGTAAATGACAAAAAAGTTTTTAAATAATATGTACTTTTGTATGCGCGTATTTCCAAAGTCTTTGCAATCGAATAATTTTTCGACGCGTCGCGACGCCCAGCTCTTTGCAGGCGTCAATTTTTTTAAACTTTGGGAAATATCTACTTGACCCCACACTTTGAGTACTTTTTACATAAATTAAATATTTCTTTTCGTTTTGCAGTTATTGGCGTGCGGAGTTTTAAGTGAAAAACCCTGTATATATATATATATATATATATATATATATATATATATATATATATATATATATATATATTGTTGAACTCCGACTGGAATCCTGCAGACGTTTCGCCAAAATCTCACTTGGCATCTTCAATGCTCGCGCTCCGAAAACACTTCGAACACTGGGAGGTTATCGGCGGTGCGTGCGGTATTTATATTCTGCGCCGGAGATGGTAACGGTGCTGCTTGTGCGTGGGGGGAGGTGACTCCTCCCCCTGAATTGTCGCGTTGTTAATTTCGTAGTTGTGATGTCCCCGTTGGCTGCTGTGCATCGCTCTGCTGTTTGATTATCGCTCTCCACGTATTGGATAAATGCAGAGCGTCGTCTCTCGTATTGAGGTGTCCGGACTTTTCTATTTCGATGGCCTCTCGTATAACCCTAGTCCTAAAATCAGGAATATTAGCTATTTGTTTGCAAGTACCGAAATCAATTTTATGGCCTGTCTGATGTTGGTGCTGAAACAAAGCAGATGTTGGTTGTTTGTTTCTTATGGCTAAACGATGTTCCTCGAGCCTGGCTGAAATCCTTCTGTTGGTCTGTCCCACATACGTCAGGCCGCACGATCCGCATGCTACACTGTATACTCCTTGGTTTTCCAGAGTAATTTTTTGTTTTGGGTTTCTTAGTATTGCTCCGATGGTATGATCAGGCTTGTATGCCGTTGATATGTCGTGTTTCCGTAATATTCGGCCGATTTTGTCAGTAACCCCCTTGATGTATGGCAGGACAGCGATCGATCTTCGTTGGGTCCCGTCCTGCACTCTCTGCTGCGGCTGTTGTTGTTTACCGATTGCATTGCTGATGATGCGCCTTTGGTATCCGTTTTATCGAAGACAGGTACTAATTTTTTTCAGTTCTTCATCTCTGTTCCTCTCGTTTGTGAGCCTGAAGGACCGAGCAATTAATGTATTTGCCACTGCCTGTATCTGTGATGGGTGGTGATGAGATTTAGCGTTCAGATATCTATTAGTGTGTGTTGGTTTTCGATAGACAGTGTGTTCCAAATGCCCATCTTCGGTCCTTGTGATGTGCACATCTAAAAAGGGCAGACTGTTATCCTCTTCAAGTTCTATTGTAAATTGAATCCTTGGGTGAATGGAATTCAGATGATCTAGGAATTTCAAAAGCTCCTCCTTGCCAAAAGGCCATACAACAAATACGTCATCAACGTATCTTGTCCATAGTTTTGGCTTCAGATTTGCCTTCTCTATTGCTTTCTTTTCGAAGTAAATCATGAAGAGGTTGGCAATCACAGGTGAGAGAGATGATCCCATTGCTGCTCCATCTATTTGTCGGTAAATTTTCCCGTTGTACATAAAGTAAGCGTTTTTCAGGCAATGTCTTGACAGATCTATTATGTACGGCGGAAGGTCTGGAATGCTCGGGTAGAGGGATTTGACATCGAAACTTGCCATAATGTCGTCCTTGTCCATCTTGAGGGAACCAAAAATCTGAGTGAAATGTTCTGAGTTTTTAACATAGGAATCTGCCTTTTCCACTATGGGCTGAAGTGCACTGGCCAGATGTTTTTCCAGCTTACATAATGGTGAGTTAAAGGCGCTTACGATTGGACGCAGGGGAACCCCGTCCTTATGGATCTTTGGGAGCCCGTAGAATTTTGGGCAACGACTCGATTTTTCCCTGGGAATAAGTTTCTTCTTTGTATCCTCGTTTATTGATGAATCGAGAATTTTGGACTTAGTTGTTTTTTCCAAATATGTCGTAGGATCTCTGGTGACTAGTTTGTATATTGGGTCGTTCAAAATATCCTCCAATTTTGCATTATAATCCGACGTATTCATGACGACAGTGGCATTTCCTTTGTCTGCTGGCATTATTAGAATATCTTCGTTTTTGTTTAGATTCCTTAAGGCTTGCATTTCTTCTCTGCTTAAGTTTGGTTGCGATGGTTTTGACTGTCTTAAGACTCTGGCGACATCTTGCCTAATTAACTCCACATCTTGTTCGTCTATGGTGGAAAGACTTGCTTCGACGTTGGAAACGATCTCTTCGACGGGTACTCTTTTTGGAGCTATTGCATAGTTATATATATATATATATATATATATATATATATATATATATATATATATATATATATATATATATATATATATATATATATATATATATATATATATATATATATATATATATATATATATATATATATATATATATATATATAAGATGACACTATATTCCGGGATATCATCCGTTCGCTCGTTGAACTCCGACTGGAATCCTGCAAATCCTGCATCCGACTGGAATCCTGCAGACGTTTCGCCAAAATCTCACTTGGCATCTTCAATGCTCGCGCTCCGAAAACACTTCGAACACTCGAGTGTTTTTTCCATCCGTGAATCAATACGTGAGAATATATATATATATATATATATATATATATATATATATATATATATATATATATATATATATATATATATATATATATATATATATATATATATATATATATATATATATATATATATATATATATATATATATATATATATATATATATATATATATATATATATATATATATATATATATATATATATATATATATATATATAGATATCTGTGTGTGTGTGTGTGTGTGTGTGTGTGTGTAATTTCATGTTATTAATATAACTGCTTTGCGCATTTGCAAAAATATCAACGCAGCATGTATTGGATGTTGGATGTTGGATGCCTAGTAATCATTTATATTTTTCGTTTCATCCAAAGTACACACTTAAAAGATCCATCGTATATATTTTTAACACATAAGAACACAAGTAAGTATATTCACACAGCGAAAACTTTTTATAAATATAACGAAAATTATAATACTATATCTCACGTACAGGCTACAGCACTTGAGTGTAGTAATTTGCGCTGAGTTTGCACTGTTCATCCAGCCGTGATCGAGCTCCGTTGAAGTCGAAGTTATCCACTCAGAACTGGTGTGTCCACCAGCATTGGGGCGTTCTATTAGTGGTTGACAACTTCAAGATTGGGTGTAGAGCCAACTTGGTCACGAATGAACAGCTCAAACTAGTATATAAGCGCCCTCACTAGTTTTGTCGATATCTTATAATAGTGATAGTGATCTGTATGAAACGTTGTGAACTAAATCAAGAAGAGACAATGGAATTACGAACTTCCTTTTTGTTTGTTTTTGTTTGTGGTAATGTCTTTTGATCAAGTCAATTTTTTTCGAGCGTTCTGCGTTGTTTTTTTTTGCTCCCGCGGGTTCCGACGCCCTTTCCATTTACATACACTTTATTAACAGAATTTATATTTGACAAGCAGAATTAATAGTAATTAGCTAACTTGTTCTGTACTTACATGATGTATATTGTGACGAGCGAGCCGAATGGGTTGAACCCGGCCCTGGCCCGTCGAAGCCTGCGTTTCAAAAATTCAGACGTAGACAGGAAACGGAGCGAGACCACTGGGCCGCTTCTCAGGAAGAACGTTCCTGTCTCCAGCATCTGCTCCTGTGTTCTACAAAAGCGAAACGCTCGCCAAGCAGTTAGTTACAACGTAGTTAGTGACTGTTACTTTTTGGACGAAATAAATTTTAAGGTCCGTTAAGTTTTAAGTTAATTTCACCCTAGCGTTTATCTAACCTGAACGATTGCATAGGCATTTAAGAAAAGTGTCATTAACTAATTAAATAAACTTTGTGCAATAATTTTTGTTTTATCCCTATACTAATAAGTGAACTTTGTTGTCATTTTTGATCACTTATCATCTTACCTGTTATTTTGCCTCTCATTATTCCTTTTATGACGGAGTAAAGGGGAACGAATTACACTTTAATGAAATAGTAGTGGTCACAGGAACATGTAGCACAAAAATATAGGGAAACTGCTTATAGCTATTTGATAATATAGTGTCTCTACATTTGAGCCACTAACCTGCACTTTGCGCAATTTTCTTTCTAAACAGCTTAACTCCATTTTGCCTAGATTGCATCTGGTCATATTTTGAGAAAATATTGCTCTAATAAAGCCGAATCCAAACGCATTGTCGATCTGTTAGCGGCCATGTTGGTTGTTGATGCCGTGAGGTTTATGATTAAAAACTTACCAAAATGGACCGAGGATGGCTCGGTTGGCAAGGCGTTAGACCTACCATCTCCATTTCCAGGAAGTTGTGTGTTCGGGAGCCTAGGTGTTGTCTTGGTCGGACATTTATCAATATGCAGAGGCGAACTCATTATTAAATAAAACAAAATTGAGAAATTTTGTTTATATTTATTTCATAAGTTCGTGTATTATCAGTATAGGTAGGTTGTCTACATCTCTAATAGCCCGAAAAACAATCCCATACGGTTTTCTCTGGTATCATGATTCAATGAATTATCGAACATCACCAAATTAGCGTTGGAATGACAGGAATGCGAATCTTTTTCTCTGGTTGGTATTCTAACGTTTTGGGTTCTGACATGGGATTCTGTGATGGAACATTGCACGCGGCGGTTTAACCTCCGTTCGCTCCCGACAGAATCCTTATATTCGTCCCCAAAAGCTTGATATCGGTTTCCACTGTGTGGATATAGTGTTTGAGTGTTCAGTGTATGTTTTAAAGTGTTAATCGTCGTCGGCCCTGTCGTTTTTCCCTGTTCACGCCGGTATGGAGACCGGATGTGCCCGGATGGTCCGTTGTGGAAGCGGGGGGAAGCCGATTTTATTTAGTATCGGTCAAAATCGTTTTTTGCTATCCGAGTAGATTTTGGTTATATTTCTTCTTCGTCGTGCTGGTTATATACCATAAGCGAAAATCCTCGACGGAAGTCGCTAATGGGTGAATGGCCATAGTAGTCCTGCCCAACTGTTTGTAAAGATCAAAGGAGAGAGAGAGTATTCTATGGTATTTAGGGTTGTCAAACAATGGAGATAGATGCAATTTGCAGAGATGTTTGCAAAACGTATTTAAATAGGGATATAAAAGCGATATTGTCCGAATCGATGACAATAACTGAACATGTTAAGAAGCTAGCAGAAACTATTGAATCGCTCAACAAGGAATTGCAAAAACAGGTTTTAGAACATCATGATGATTTGTTACGACAGGCTAGCCACGCAACAAAACTAGAACTTGTATTAAATGTAATAAACATGCACATTCAAAATCTTTTTGCAAATGCAGAAAGACTAAAATCACAACTCGATCTCCCTTATGAAACTTTGGAGAAGCATATTAATGTGCTACGTAATTTAAATTCTGCTAGTCACATTTTAAGGCAAGTTGGTAGGGTCCAGCAACTTAGCAAACGTCTAGCTAACACTAACGATTCTGTTCAGAAAGCATCCATTTTACTGGAACTAGAAGAGTTAGCAACAGATCAAGATTTGACAGACATAGATGCTGTCACTACAGAATTGCGAAATATTAGAATACAGAGACAGAATGTTATTAAATTAGCTGCAGGTTCTCTACATCAGGGATTAGTTAATGAAAATTCTATACAAACCTCTACGGCATTACAAGTATTTGTGAATTTGGGTACAATCAAAAATAAACTAGAGGATTTAATTAAAGGTTATTTAGATGATTGCAAGGATATCATAAAGTCAGTGTTGAAAATTAGTTCTTCCAACAAATTAAAAAGCAGCGGTAGTCGAATTACAACATCCACATCCCAAGAATTCCGAAATAAAATTTGGACAGAATTAGAAAATAGTTTTGCAGATGAAATGTACAATACATGCAAGCAGGTAAAATTTTTGTTGGTGGTAGTGAAAGAGATGCATTTAAAAAATCCAGATCCTGAATTGTCATCCCAATTTTGGAAAAATTTGAGCCAACTTCTTAAGGAAGAACTCACACAAAGTTCACCAGCTGTTATTCAAGCATTGGAAGATGACTATCCAAAGTTGTTAAAAATCTATTGTGAAATGATTAAAAAACTGAATTATGATGAATTTAAATTTGATCCCACAATTTTGAAAACACTGGAAAATTCTTACTTGTCAGGTTCGCTATCCCGTATGTCCAACCCAATACAGTTGATGTTTAGTAGTGAAAATATGCCCTCCCAAGACGGAATTGATGATTTAATCAGAGTTATAACTAGTGAAGTCAGTGTTGCACTTATAGAGGAGCATTTAAGTGAAAACATATCAAAAAATGTTGTAAAGTGCATTAAAATGTTGGTAGCCAAGATGGAACAACAGATTGAAAATGGTCCCGAAGCTGCTCAAGTACTTGCAGGAAGTCCAAATGTAGTTCAGCAGAAAAATGTGCAGTATTGCAACTTACTTCATTACATGCAATTAAAGACTTATAGAATGCTTTCCAACATGAAGGGTAGTTTATCTGAAACTTGTGTACAAATGATTGAAGGAAGCTTACAAGCTATGACCCTTTTATCAGGAGTCATACTTCAACCTATCGTTATATCAATTAATTCTATTATCGAAACTATAATTGTTACAATACACATGGAAAAAGATTGGGCAAGAGCCCAAGTAACTTCAAATAAAAATCAATCATATAGTCCTTATATGAAAGAACTTACTCAATTTATAAATAGAGTATATAACACATATCTCTGTAATTTTCAAAACAAAGAAGTCTTATCTCAGAAGTGCAATGAAATTGCTTTAAGATGTATTGACCTTTTTATACTTCATTCGGTACTGCTTCGTCCAATCTCTCAAGCTGGTCGCCAACGTCTTCAAAATGACTACAATTCTTTAGAACAGTCTCTAAAGATAATATGTCCCAATTTGGCAGATCTTGGACGACCATATCGTATCTTTAAGTCTATGAGTCTATTGGTGACACTTTCTCCACATGAGATTATTCAAGGACAAACATCTGGAAGTTCCGTGCCTGACAGTATTGTTTTGCTAATGCTATTTTCCTTTGCGGGTCCAGAGTTAGCTAGTCCACATCAAAACACAGGATGGTCTATTCCTAAACTGACAACTTGGTTAGATGAGCATCCTAATGAAGGGGATCGACTTGATTTAATAGCAGGTGCTTTGCAGAGGTATGAGGCATCTACGCGACAAAAAAATTCTGTTAATTATGATCCCATTTATCCTCTTATGTCTCAGTTCTTGGAACAAATTGTTAAAATGAAACAAGTAACACATTAAATATTTTTTAAGTCTGTTTATCAGTTGTTTATGAATTATTGATCCTGTATAATAAATAAGAGTATATAACGAATTGTAAAACTGAAATATTTACATTAATATTCCTAGTGTAAATATAATTTTAATACATTTTAAAATTTAAAAATTCGAATCTTTTCATTTTTTGTCAAAACGTGTTTATTTTGCCGAAGAAATGCAAACTTCTGTAATCTCACAGGAGTTAAATAGCTAAGTAGCTAAATGTCTAACAATATGCAACGGCAAAAAGTATTCAAATTCTGTAACAATACTTTTTACAAAACGAGTCGAAATTGCTGACGTTTCGCCAATCATCCTGTTGGCTTCTTCAGAGCTTGAATGAAAAAGTTTCTAAAAGTAAATACTATGTGTGAGGAAGAAACCAACCAAGTGGGCTCCCTTGAACACTTGATTTCAAAAAACTATGCCATCTATGTTATCTTCCAATGCACCGTTGCGTATTAGTTACTGCGTAGCTTGGCGTTAGTGAGCGCCCGCAAATACCGCTGATCAGGAATGAGGAAGGGAGGGAGTGTTCACATGGCAAACCAACTTGCGTCTTCGCAGCATTGCCAATTGCAAGGTTGGTCGATCTAGTCTCGCGGCGTGCTTCTGTTCAGAGACTGGAGGTGATCTGTTACGACTAGAGTTGTGTCGATCGCGATTGATTCGGTCATTTTGATTCATCACTTCATAGGATCGATCGACCGAATCCCGCTTGTTCGTAACGATTCGATCACCTGGTTCGCTCTCGCTGCCGCCCTGACCGGTCTAAAGTGACCGAATACAGGACAACCGATCGAGCTACCGAATTCGCCGGAATACGATTCATTTGAATGGTTCAAGATTTATATGCATGACTGAGACAGGTCACGGAAAAGGAATGGAAGTGTTGTTATAATTATTCTATAGTATTGAGTTGCGACATCGATTTGTAGATTTGCTGATGTGTTGAATAGAATATTGAATGAAATATCTGTTTCCACACAGGTATTTAATTTAAACAAATTAATGTATTACTGGTACAATCCAATACATAGCACCTATTTTGATAATACATTATTCAATTTAAAGCAGAACACAGCTAAGTATTACACTAACTACGGAAAAGGAATGGAAGTGTTGTTATAATTATTCTATAGTATTGAGTTGCGACATCGATTTGTAGATTTGCTGATGTGTTGAATAGAATATTGAATGAAATATCTGTTTCCACACAGGTATTTAATTTAAACAAATTAATGTATTACTGGTACAATCCAATACATAGCACCTACTTTGATAATACATTATTCAATTTAAAGCAGAACACAGCTAAGTATTACACTAACTAATTCAAATGAATCTGAATCGATCGTTCGGACTGTTCGGATTTAGTGACTATTGCCGCTTATGTTGGCATCAAAAAAGTATTGAAACGAACGATTGATTGAAATGATTCGGTCCTTTTCCAAATCGGCCAAATTGATTCGGTTCTCTTAAAGTGAACGATTGACACAAAACTAGTTTCGACTAAGCTTGGGCCAATTGTGTGCTTGGTGGTCGGGACAAACCGCAAGGATGTCGCGGTGAACAAGCGCGCGTTCTCGGAGAGCACGTAACACGGGAAGTTATGATGATCTACCGCTATTAAAGTTATCCCGCAATACTATAGTACAAACATTTTCACAAACACTTTCGATAAGCGCTGCGTGCTGCGTTTGTCAGTCCGGTCAACCATACGCGGGGATGTGTGAACATTCGTCTTAGTGCAAAGATTTGTTATTAGTTGTTTTAATTTCGAATGGGCTAAAATTAATGGCCGATGTAACTATCCTCCCTGGTTTAGTGTTCTTGTACATAACTTATCGGTTCTTTATGTCTGGAGCAAATGAGCTTTTCAAAATTTCCGCTAGAGACACCGTATTCGCACTGAGTTACTTAAGTATATTGTTCTATGTAACTGAGTTCCAAAAAAAAAATTTAGAAGTTTATCTCTTGTTCCAACTAAATTTCTTATTAGCGCAAATATTAACTCTTCACACGTCATGTTTTCTGCTTAAGTCAGAAGCCCCCTACTATTTAATTTATAAAAAAAGAAATAAATTATGTGTGACGTCAACTAATGACCAATTGTACAAATCATTTATCTATTCCATGCACAGTAAAAAGGAAATTTGCATTTGCGCAGTTGAATGGAGGGAAATAATTTATCGATTCTTGATTGGTCCAGTAGTCAACTGTGAAAATAATTAGAATTGCACGTGTAAATAATTATTTTCCGCATTTCTTCTGTGTTTACTTCCGTGATTGCGGACATTGTGATTATGATATATTGTAATTTCGGTTTCAGAAGTAAACTTTGTGGCAGTTACTATGGTAATTTCTTTTAGGTAAACTTATACCACATTGCCGCATAACCTCTAAATACGTATGTTGTATGTATGAACCATGGTAAATTTATTTATTCAGCAGAGTAGTGCCGATTTTAACTGTTTTCCTGTTACATTCATTCTACAATAATTCGGCGAAATGGACATAGACTCCAATAAAAATCAACAGTTTTTTTCATTCTCTTCAGATCCATTCAGTGTAAGTTTACTTCAGGTTGGTATGTTTTTGTTTGTTATGTTTTAAAAATATTTATGGCAATTTTAGCAGGATGGTTATCAAACAAATTTAAGGGATTTTGATAGAGTACCCCCAAATGATTTATTTGAAAATTCCAATCACATTTTTTCTTCCATTGGAGTTTTCGACTGGAGTAATGAAAAAATGTAAGATATTTGGATTGTCTTTTGATTATGTGATCCACATAGGTAATTTCAGTTTACACGCCGACTTGTCGTCAATTCCATCCGAAATGCTTTGCTCATCTCCAAAAGATAAAGGTGGTCTCCCAAAAGTTATTTGGGAAAATTGGCAGAATAAAATTGCAGTGAGTAATTAGTTACAATTGAATATTAAAAAAAAAACACAACTGTTTGTAGATTAGCTTAGAAGAATTATCTTCTGTTGAAGATACCCAAACTAAAAATTTCTTTGATGTTAAATATGATCCATTAGAAAATAGTGTCAGCTCCAACCAAAGTAAGCGAGAAAGGAAAGTGTCAGATTCTTCAGATATCTTAAACACTAGTTTTCATGACCTTGCACATTTTGACATAGCTCAGTATGTGCTTGGAGATGTTAAGGACGAGCATCAACAGGCTGATAAAAATGTTAAATGTGATTCTAATGTTTGCTGCTCTAGTGATGTAATATCCAAAGCTGCAAAAAGCAAAGCTGGAGTTAAAAAAATTGATTTAAAAGCTCAAAGATATATTACCGAGGATGAGGAAGTTAAAAAAACATTGTCTGACAATGAAGATGATGTTGACATTGAGACAGTTTCTGATAATGAAAACTCGCCAGTATTAGAAGCCGGGGATCTCACTAGTTTGTTGGAACAATTTGAGGCTACAGAAGAAATAAGTTTAAATTCTACCAATTTGCATATTGATAGTTCTGAAGAAAATACAAAGAAGCAACAATCAGATATTGACCCAAACTCTGAAAGTACAATTGGAAAATCAAATTTTAAAGTAAAAGAGAAGAAACAGGAAGTAATACAGCCTACACACATTGAAAATTTTGATAATAGGATAGAGTGCCCTATTTTGAGTAAAAACACTGAAGGTAATCCAATTTTCCTTATGATTGCACAAAATAATTGTACTTGAATTTTTTTTCTATTGTAGGGACTCCAAAATTATTGTTTAATCAGACAGATGCAAACAGCTGTAAAATGGAAGCGGTTGCATCTGGGACTTTTACTGGAAATAGTAGCAAAAAGCAAGTGTTGGACTACTTGCCACAAGAAGTAATAGATCGTATAAGGGAGTCGGGGAAAAGAAAGCCTATTACTGTGATAGAGCCGATAGCAAATTGTCGAAGAGGCGTGAAAAACCAAAATATAAATACTCATTGCATTTCAATTTCAAATGTTGTATATTTGGATCACAATTATTGTGGGAGCCTAAGCTATTTATCCAAGAAGGATTCTGGATTTCATTCTGCTGAAGAGGATGACCGAAATACTAGAAGACAGTTTGCTCCAAATAATGAGAGAAAGTCTTCCTTGTCAGTTTTAAAGGTGAGTAATTGGGTAGTAATAAAATGAAAATTTTCTTCAAAAATGATAATAAATATTTTTCTAAGAAAGCTATTAGTTTTCTTTAGGGAGATGGTCTAATATTTATTTTCTGCCAGTTCCCTTTGATATTAAAACAATTCTAATTCAGTACTGCAAAACAAGTAATTCCAATTCAATTTTTAATAAAAATTTAAGAACTCAAGATAATAACATTTCCTGTTAACATATCAGGTGACACAAGAATGTAAGGATAATCTTTTAAATATTTTATTTGATGTGACTACACATTAGTTCCACAGTTAGTCTATAATTAGCAATCCCAATTCCTTGTTCTTACTTTTCTTGTGTCACCCCATATATTGAATTGTAATTTAAATTCATTTTACTAAATCTGCAATTTTTCGGAATTATTCCACTTTTTTTTAAGGGTGTAAATAGATGTAGATTAGATCCTAGAGATTTTTTTTTTGAAACTGTTATAATATCTGGTTTTGAGAGTATTTTCCTGTGTCATCCCGTATTTACATATCTGCATTATGGTTTTTTGTTTTTGACACCCTCTTACCTAGCAGCTTGTAGGGTGGTGAAAAAATAAATTACTTTGTTTATTCTAATTAAAAAGTATATATATTCTCTCTCGTCTCAGTTTAGTATTCCATCTAGAATATTGCATAAGGTAGATGTTAATGATAATCTTTTTTAGGCCAATATTAACCAAAATTCTGAATCAAGCCGCACTAAAAAGAAAATATTGAATTTAGAAGAGTATAAAAAGCGTCGAAAACACGTTTTCAATTCAAACAACAGTTCTTTAGCTAGTTCCCCAATGGAAAGTGGTTGTAATTCTCCTCAACCCGAAGACGAAACACAAAAAATGTTAAGACATCAAGAAAAATTAAGAAAAATGGCCAAGGAAGTATTAATCGCTGCTCCAAAATGTGCAAGCACTTCCCTCAAAAATTCTACGTTAAATCTTCCACCACTATTATTAGCCCAGGAAGCTTTGGAGACTGTAACGAACTCAGAAACTGTGAGACCTGTTCATTTAAAAGTCCCAGAAAATTTAGAGAGAAAGGTCCTAGTTAGTTTTGGTGTTAATACAGATTTTAAAATGTCAAAACATGATAATCCCTTGGCTCCTGTCGAGAAACTCCAAGAGATAAAACCATTGCTAGAAAAAGTCAGCGATAAGATAAAAGAAAATTCATTTATAAATTCTTTGATTGAAAACATCCCGAAAATCATAACAAAAAAAGAAAAAGCATCGCAACCTGAAATTTTGGTAGAGCAAGATGTAGTAGAACATGGTGAGAACAAACAGGTATTGCACTTAGAAAAGAGTAGGCCCAGGGTTGAAACTAACGATGTTGAAACACAGACAGATATATCTCTTATATATCAGTGTAAAAGAGGCAGAACTAGGAAACGGGATCCATCTATCAGTTCAGACTCATCAGGCAGAAGCGACTCATCAAGCTATCAAAAAAGGTGTGGTGGTTAATGTAAAATAATTCTTTGAGGAACTAGGTGTTCATTGGTGTTTCAGGAGTAGAAAGCGAAGCTCGGAATCATCAACAAGTTCAAGTAGTTCAAATTCATACACCTCATTTTCACCCATTCACACTGCTGAAGCCTATTCAAGGTGGGTAACGCCATCAAACATAAACGCGATCTTATTTTTTATGTATTTTATTTATAATCCTTACGGAGGGTTATGTTGACGAAATTAATCAGAAATTCATCTTCTAATTGATATTTTTGAAATTATGTCTAGAAGTCGCTGTGTCCTAACTGAGCACTCCTCGTCCCTCATATACAGGGTGTTGATTGGGTACTTGTACAAACTTTGAACGATATATCTTACTAATTTTAAGAAAAAAAAGTTTATATGAACATGGGGCATCCAGGGCAGGCTTGGTTCTTGGTGTGCAAAAAACTATGTTATTTGTTTTTTTGATTATATTTTTGTTCAGCAACATGGCAATTAAACGAAATTCGAGATACTAAATGATTGGATTAGATATAATATATAGTATAATAATGGAGTGTTTAAAGTTTTCATTACTTTTTCTTTATTCCTAATTATAACACATATAAGCACAAAATCCGGTAGCTAGAATAGTATTTGTATTAGGAATTTTCTCTCTTCGTGTACAAGTATTTATTTACTTTCTTTTCACTTGGAATATGGTGTCATTGAAATCCAAGGTTCAATACTTACGCAGGTTATAAATTGTATTCAATTTCTTATTATTACTTTCAGTACTATTTATAAATTTGCTTCAGAGCTTCACTGAAACTGTTTTGCATTCTACTCTGTATCTGCTTACATGTGGTTTAAGGGAGGTGGAGCTAAAATACGAACTAGCAAGTTCGTTGATTCGATTTGTAAAAAATATTATGATAGCTGTGGAAGTTTCTTTGGAAAATTACTTTCAGGTTATCATATAATAGGTCAAGGTCGCGTTCTCCAAGACGAAATGGTAGAAACCAAAACAACATTGACCGCGAACATTTAAATGCTGTAGAGGAACGACGAATCATCTACGTCGGGCGTATTAAGCAGGGAACTTCGAAAGACGATCTCAGAAGCAAATTCAAAAAATTTGGCCCTATTACGAATATAAGTCTGCATTTCCGGGACCAGGGGTACAATCATCTGTACGCGGCTTTTCTTATTTTTAATTCAATTTTTTCGCTTTAACATCGTAGAAACGCCTCGTTTTTGCTTTTTACTCATTGAGATCTATGATATTAAAGTACAAGTTGAATTATTTAAGAATTGCAATATAAATTTTTTTAGTAATGTGTATTCTGTTTAGGGAAAATTATGGCTTTGTCACGTTTAAATATAAAGAAGATGCACATGAAGCATACGAGCATGGAAACGATGATAAGAAATTTCCCACATATAAAATAAGTTTTGGGGGCCGACGAGAATTCTGCAAGTCTTTGTATTCCGATCTTGGTGAGTCTTATTTTCTAATTGTTACAGCTAAAATTAAAAACCTGGTCAAAGTGTATATTTTAAACATAATTTAAATTAATTTAAAAACATTATTTTAGATCTCTTTTTATACAGAGCACTGCCATGTGATTTTCTTTCTTAACACCTATTTGAGTATGAAATTTTTCTTTATCGGGCACGGTACAGATTATTGAAAAAAAAAACGCTCAAGTGTTTCTAATATACCACACTATATAAACTAATTTTTTTGCAAATAATTTCTAAGTGTATGATTATAATATGTTTTTCCAGTTTTGCTGTGTATCTACCAAATAAGTAAACTATGCATATTATAGCTGGACATTATTACAATTAGCCATAAATTTATTAAAATTGAAAATATTAAAATCAATCATGATAAATATTTTACTGAGCACTGACACCACATCTTAGTCTACTACTTTTACGTTTGTTCACATTTTTCAGATAACATGCGAGACGATCAGCATTATCAGTCACACAATTCTTATAACTCTTTTGATCAGCTTTTGAAAGAAGCTCAAGAAAAGTTAAAAAAACGCAGAGTTTGACACAAGGATAACAACTTTCTAGTTTTCATTTGTTTTTTTTTTTTGTAGTTAGTTTTTGAGTTAAGTACCTATATTACCATTGAATGTACAAAGAATGGTAAAGTGAACAAGTAACAGATTCGTCATTAACTTATTTAATCCTCTAAGCCACCATAACTTATAAACCATTTTAGTTCGTCAATATGAATTAATATTTAATTTAATTTTTTATCATTTCTTTGTATATTCAGTAAAACTTTTAGCAAATGTGATTGCCAAGTTGTTGATTCTTTTAGAGAGTAATATCACTGTTAACTATTGAGCTTAGGAATTGACGTCATGACATTAAAATAATTATTTTTGAAATAAATAACCTTTTTCATGTGAGAGTAACATTTCATTTAGAGAGTATTGCAATTTATTTTAGTATGTTTTTTTTTTTGTATGGGCATAAATATTTTTTATTTTTTATAGTTGTATGCAGTGTCACTTTTTATATTTTTTTTGTAAATAGATTGGATCTTATGTTCACAACTTAATTTTTGAATTCTTAAAGCCTTTCATGTGGTCGGAAGGGGTGTTTTATGGGTCGTCAAATTATAATTTATCATTTTATTTTTCATTTTTCCAATGTATAGCTTTTTAAAAGCGGGTGCGTCCTGTAAGATATTCAATAAATTATTTGTACATTATATATTACTGCGTTGATGATTAATTATCGTTATATATAAATGTATGAATAATTTCTCGTTAGGTTCTAGTGTTTATGTCTGTATATACAGAATGCACTGTGAAGAGGGGTTATTTGATTTGAACTTAACATAAAAGTATATAGTTATGTCCATTGTCCAACTGTATTGATGAGGGTCGCTTCAATAGAATTACATTAGAATTTTTTTTTGTAACTTTTTACATACATATAGATAAATGACATATGCTTACCTCTATGTGTATCTATATATATACGCAATTAAGTACACTTTTAAACAAATTGGTGGTATATTGGCTTGATTGTAAGTCACTTTAAAAAAAATTGGCCACAACAAATATTATATCCAAATTTAATTCAATGGAAGTTTTTAAAATAATAGCATTTAACTTATAACATCGTACTTACTCCAGTAAAGTCATAAATTTGTTCAAGGTCAAGTTTTTGGGTAATGTTTGCTAAATATATAAATATAAATTTTTGAAAAATTCGACCTGAAAACACGAACAGTAGGGTTAGATGAAATGTATCAAAAAAAGTTATTAGTAACTAATAAACGAAAATGTGAAGAATTGGAACGAAAACAACACCAGCGATCGCACATGAAAAATTTTCTGATCGCTTACTAATATAAAAAATGTCCCACATGTAACCAACATTATGGGCAAAACACAGGATTTCAGCTACCATCTTTATAAATTGTGCAGCAAAAACATTTTTGCAATTATATGAATTTCATATTTTGTTCCATGGAAAATATTACTTACAAAACCACAAATAAATGTCACATTTCAAATTCATTTTATCGCCAGACTTAATTGTTATATCAATTTTAGTTCATTTTACAAAAATAAGTAATTTTTTGTACTAGTTTTTTTTTCAGTTATGTCCATTGTTTAAACATGTGCAAAAGCGTAAAAAGCCCAAAAACGTTTTTTGGCACAAATTTATTTTAAAAGAAACGTTTGTTGTAATTTCAGTTTTATTTGAAAATACCTCTACCACATTGTGTTCTTTTTTTATACTGCTCATTATAACCTAATTTTTCAAACTTCCACAGGCTACTGTAATACCCTTGCGTTGGTGGTTTATAAATCAAACTTGCTGGCGTTTTGCTAACTGAAACATTTAAGCTCTGAAGAAGCCAACATGATGTTTAGCGAAACGAGTACAAGTTTGATTTGTAAACAACCGATGCATGAGGAATCCAGAAGATTTGTAACTAGCATTACAATCTATTTTGTAATCGGAATAATTTGCCTCAAAATGTATTTTTTTAAGGCAAAAAATGTGTGCTGATTTCAGATTGATTTCAAAATACCTCTACCGCATTGTGTTCATTTTTTTTATAACTTTTTTAGACGAATATGTTCCGTTTTTTGTTTATTTTTAAGAATGCGTATTTTAGCTATGCGTTTTGTCTCCGATTATAATTCCAAAATTAATAAAAAAATTGCAAACTATATTTCGTTTGATTGCAATTTTCCATTCCGTTTTCCTTCTTAATTTGGATTTATAAAAAACCTAAGAATTAATATTTCGTTCAATGCAATGATAACAAATCAATCAGTTTATAAACCTCTTTTATTGGTTACTAGATTAAAGTACCTTTAGGGATAGTGGTGGAAAGGTGGTGGTACTAAATTTTGATGTCACATTCTGTTTTTTTTTTTTTGTAAAAATTTGGTGATGTGTAGTCGAAATAATAAATAATATTTGAGAGCTTGACTAATGGGTGTAAACTTTAGTAAGTTCAAAATTCATTTCTTAAAAAATATTTTAGTTAGTTAATCGAAATTTCTTAGTTCACATCGATTAATACTGGCAGAGTATAGTTTTATATCTGAAAATTGGAACCTGGTAATGGAAGAGCGATACAATTTGGGTTGTGGAATTGACGGTCAAATATTTTTGTGTCTATTGACTGAAATAATTTTAAAAAAACAATGGGATTTATATGTATTTATACTTGCGTTAGGTCGCCGTCGTGTCGTTCTCAGAACTAAATGAAGTCGATATTTTTATTGGGATTCCCCGAATCGCCAATAATCGTGTTCGGATATTCCTTGGAAAGGGTTATAGGTAAATTGGATCATCACTCATGGACACAATTGCAAGATTTTATTTAAAACATTTTGATCGATTTTGATTGGCCAATGTATAAAACGTTCTGCACGCGCGTTTAGCCAGCCAAGTTAGCAATTTTTATTGGTATGCGTTTTTTAAAAACACCTAAAATCACTTGTTCGGGATTGTCGGCGAAATTCAATAAGTCACTCCTCGTAAAACTAACGAATTAATTTCATCCCAGTAATTTAATTAGCATTTTATTTTGTACTCACACTTACTGTCCTCTTTTGAATCGTGTTTTGCTTTATAGTGCCTTCTCACTATGGATTTTGAACTTTTGAGACGATTCTGTTAAAGCGGGCTCTATAATCTGTCTCGCGTTCCCCAGTTTTTTTGTGTCAGGTGGGGCCGGGTTTGGTCTGTCAGGGTCGCTACTTTAACTCTGAGTTTAAACGTGGCATGAGATTTTGGTCTCAAGGTGGATTTTTTAAAAAATTAAGATGTGCATATTTTAAATAAATAAATTTAGCAATGTTTGCAAACATCAATATATATTTATTTAAATTAAATAATTTCCCTTAACACTAATTAAGTCTTGTTTTTCTTATGTAACAGAAAACTTTAAATCGCCACCTTAACTAATTTTACAAAATATTTAAATATGTAATCAACAGTACAAATTAAAACTTAATATGAAAATCACGATGGGGCAAGAAGAAAATATATTAATAGCTATATGCATAATAACTTAACCTTTCTTAAATTTAAGCACCAATATACTTATTGTCAGGAATATAAATATCCATATTGTGATTGATATGAATCCATAATATACGCTGGGGACCGTCATACCCCATCCTCTTGCTATTATACACCTAAAAAATAATAAAAGAAGTAAACCATCCTTCGTCCCTCTTAAGAAACAAACCTTAAACTTTCGGTGGCTTGTGTGAGTGGCAAAACATTTGCAATCCATTTTAAATATTCGCTCATAGACTCGATGGGCCAGATTATTCCGCAAAGCATAACAATCGGTAAAAAGCTTCCTAATGCTAAGTACGTAGCGGTCCGTTCGGTGTCGCACACGCACGAAACTACGAAACCTAAATCAAAAATCGGTATTTCAATAAAAAAAAGCGTTTTGGCAAATTTTAAGTGCACTCAATTATTGTAACACCAAATAAAATAATCCAGCCGTTAAAAGTTTTCGTGGCTTATTTAATATTCCCTTTCATTTAGCACTTCCGATTCCGGTACCCCACGTGACCATGATGTTCCTTATGTAAAATAGAACAAGTGGGACATTTTTTCATTTTTGGATTCTTGAGGGAATTTGATAGTGGGTTCCAGTTTTCATTATACCCAATTTTAATAGTTTTGGTTAGTTTAGGTTTAGTTAGCTAGTTAAAAATTTTGACTGTTTCGGGCTGGTGGTACCTAAAAGCTTAGCTTATTCTACTAAAACAGGCCAACATCCAAAAATATTTCAGACAGCATTCTAAAGAAGTCAGCAATATTTTTGACAAAAAATCAGCGGGAGTATATCTACAAGCTTCGCATCCTGAGCAAGTTTCTTCGAAAATTTTGAGAAGGCACGTCAATCTTTCTCAACCAACATGGCCGCTAACAGTTTGTTAACTTGACAGATCTCAGTTTGTCGTTGACAATTTTTTCGGCAAATTAGTTAGTGCGTGATCTAGGGTCTTAGTGACACTAATACGGTAAAAATTGTTGCGCCTCCTACGGGCCTGATGTTTTCGAAGAAATGGGAATGATTTTGCATGCACGCCTTTAAATTTCACCCACTAACTGCTTCCTTTTGCTCTATTTTCTTTCTAAACGGCAATCTCCAAACAGTTTTAGCCATTTTCCTAGAATATTTAACAAGATCTGAGCTTATTTTGATAAAATACTACAATAGAAGCTAATTCTTATTGGTTGAAAATGAGATTTCAAATGACAGCGCATATGAAATTTCCTAGCTTAATATTTTTTCGTCGTCACTTTAAAAATGTCTATTATCAGAATTAGGCAGGGCAGTAGCTATATGTATGTGCATAACTGTATAGAGGGAAGATAGGATTTAATGGAAATAATCATAACAAAAAATAAACAATTCGCAAAAAAGAACTTGATTGAAATCCTGAGCAAACTGAATGAAAATTTTAGTTTTGTTCCTTAGTAATATTAATAGATTTCGAATAAAATGTCACTTATAAAGGCGAGTTTAAAATCTTTCCCTTATGTATGTCAATAATATATTACTGGTTAGAAATAACAGTTTGGTATTGTAATGCTGTTAGAATAAACAGCGGTAACTAATTAATTGTCACAAATTTCGTTACGTTATTGAACCTCTTTTATTTTAAAATTAATGGAATCTCTGCAATTAAATAGAGATACCACACCTTTATCATTCAATTATTAAATTAACTAAACTGCTTTGCACCATGTCGGGTCAATATAATGCGCAATGTCCGTCGTTTGTGTTGGTATACTTTCCAAAGGCACTTTTACACGAATATTCGACAAGGTGCTACCTAATAATGATAAATAAAAATAAGAAAGTAAAAATATAAATTTCTTAATCAACATTATCAGAAACGACAACAACAGGACCTTTTCTACTTTAAAATTAGTTTTACCTATATTATTTCTTGTAACTTTATAATATTTTTATACTCTCTGTAGTTTGTTGAAATTTCCCTATTTACAATTTTTAAATTGAACTTCGTTTTCGCATGTGATTCCAACTTCAGACCTCATCGATATTATTTTTCTTTTAAAACGCAAACCTACCGAAACACATCCCGCATACTCCACCCAATGTCGCGAGGCCCAGTAATGCCACCCAGTTTCCGTTTTGGGTTAACTGGAACAGGACAAATGCCACAACCGTCACCATAGTGGTTTGGAACAACATTATTACAAATTGAGTGATCACTTGCGAAAACAGAATCTCTGTACCAGTGATACCATTGACCAGAGATCGTTCCAAGATACCCTCATTCCGTTCAAGGAGTAAAGCTCCGGACGTGAGAGCGACGGCCATGAAAAATATGATGCTGAAACAAGTACCAACCTAATATATCAATTCAAATTGGGAATATTTAAGCGATATTTACGTTAAAACGACACCCGGGGCAGCAAAATCTGTAAAATCGGGTTCACCGACTCCATAAATTGGTCTCTCCCACTAAAAGAGAGTTGAGTTAAGTTTAGGATACACAAAACTTAAGTTTTTTTTAAAGAATTTGAATTTTATCAAAAAAATTATTTATAGAAGGTGCCAAAAACTGTATACTTTAGTTATAGCTATAGCACATCCTATGATACAATTCGGTGAGTAGTTAAAAATAATTAAGGTCTGATGGTAAGTTAAAAATACTGGCGTTCCATTTGAATTAATGAAGTTATAGCCACTGAAAGTTCTTATTAGGTTAGAATAATTTTTTTATACATTCTGTATATAGAATATGGTTTTTGTTACCCTTAAATTTCCTTCACATAACTTAAATGCTTTTTAGACATTGAAGAAATTAATGTTAGGTTACATTTTAAAGAAATTCAAATTATTTTAAATATCTTTAAAGTTTGGGTATCAATTCAGATATACGGGCAATTTGTTTCCCCTGGCCGAGATATTTTTTCCAAAGGGCACGAGATTTATGTTCTTGGTGCTAAATTTCATTGTTCAAAGTAAATGTGTGGTTTAAATTGCTTTGTTTTCGAAAAATAGTAGTTTGGTAATTGCTTCCCAACGGTTCGCTAAGACGAGTGGCAGAGCTTCTTGAATGATCCATCCATATTCAAAGTTAACGCCAGTATTATAAAAACTAATAGTGATGTTTTAGCCTGCCCTCTAGCATTACGAACAGTTAGTATATACTGGACACGTGAGTTTCTTGGAATATGAAGGATTTTACGGTATTTATACGGTATCGTGAAAATGTTTCAATCAAATTATATAGCTATTAATGTATAATAATAAATATAATAATAGTAAAATAACAGCCATTTTCAACTACAGTATTCCAAAAGGTATAAAAAATTTCATTAACTAACACTCGGTAACATTTTTGAACTGCCTAATATATTAAAAATTGTTGTAACCGATTAGAAATTTGCCTAATCGATAGAGGACGCCACTTACCCTTAATGGTAGCCCGGCGATTTTTGGATCAATATCGCATGTCGAAAGAAATGATGAAAAATAACCATGAAATCCAAAGATTAAGTCCCTCGTCAGATAAGTTGCAATGTTCTCATCTAAAAAAAAGTCTCGCCTTAGGATTAGTTTTCTGATTAGCTAATCCTGTTGTTACCCTCCAAAATAAACAAAACACATATTAAATAGAGAGTGATCTTTTAAAATAAAAACGTAAATTTTGGTTAAAAAGCTGCACATGCAAGCAACATATAAAAAGTTGCAAATTAGTTGCGAAATAGATTATTCTAGAAAGAAATACATAAAATATTGTGGCGCGTGAGCCGAATGGGTTGCCCCAGTTCTGGCCCGACCCCGTCTGTTTCAGCGTTACGTGCCGGGACCGGACTCAGTCCATTCGCCGCGCTCATGTAATTCTCAATCCAGTCCAACAGACCAGCTGTCATAATGTAAAATATTAACTTTGTATTTTTCTCTATAACATTTTATCAATATTTAATAGCCCGTCCAATTTTTTTAAATAATTTTTCGACATTCTTTATATTTAAAATACAAAGTAACACTTGAATATTCGATTCGTTATTCCAACGTATTTTAAATTTTTTAAACTAAAACTGAAAAAAATACGTTTCAATAAGTTTAGGATAAGTAAAAATGGAATTTTTCAGTTTCAGTTGATCCTCAAATATAATAGTCAACATGGGATCGTACTGGATTTGTCAGCATAAACGTCAATAACCGAATTTGCCAAGTCCCACTCAGGCACATCCCTGCCATTATCTAATCTAGATCTGAGTGAATCGGAAAAATTTTCAGGCACTACCAACATTCCCCATGATTTCCCCCGTTCGACCGTTTCCCTTGCCTCATCCTCCGTGGCGTAATATTGCTAAAAAAATTTGATTTACTGCTTATCACTAGGTGAACGTTATTTACCTACCAATATGAGTGAATAATTTTTCGTCACGTAATCCAAATAATTGCAACTTAACGCTGTCGCGTTGCAGTCATTGTAATGAATCTGACAATGTTCCTTAGGGTAGTTAATTTCCTTGTTCACAACCGATAATTTGATATTCTTCGGGTCGTGTCCAATGGTCATACAGAACAAAATGGTTTGCATCACAGGCAGACCGATGATGAACGCCATCATCGGGATGTTCCGCCACATCCACAAAAAATTCTTCCAGATCAGTGTTTTCATGTGATCTAGTTTGACTACTTTTAAATAGTCAGTGAAATGCGTCTCGGCTTCCTCTTCAGGAGGAAGTTCCGGTGGAATCGTTTCCGCCGGTTCCGGAGCTATTGAAACCCTTTCTGTTAAAAAAAAAATCACGGATTAATCTCATATGTTATTGTACCGTAGAGATAACGCTCAATTTAGATCCATATACAATGTAGCTCATTAAAACAGGATTCTTTTATTTCGCCATAAAATTCGTTTTATCGATAGTATTTAAATTCAAAAGTTATTTGTATCCAATTGCCACGTAATGAAAATAGCGTTCTACAGAGTATATCTCAGTAACAGCGCATCCGAATAAAAAAAATATTACAACCCCCCCAAAAAAAAATAAAAATCTTATAGGAGAAAACTATTACTAAGGTATTTTGTTGATAAATATAGTTTAAAAGTACTTATCGTTTGCATTAAATTAAATTAAAAAAAAATCCTTTAATAATAACGGCCATACCTATTTCAAAGAACGTTGCAAATGTAAAGAGATTTTTTAATATTAGGAAAATTAAAGTCACTGTCTATATGTATTTTCTTATTAAATTATTTTCCCCTTTTTCCGAAGTCATCATCACTCTGTTTTAGTTAGTTTTAACAATTCAAAATAGCAAAATTTTCTTAATTCTTAATTTTTATATAATCTTTGAAAGTTTAAGTTTTGCCTTAAAATTATTTTTTAAATTGTATTTAAATATTTCGCATTACTCTTACTATAGTTTTTGTTTCGGGTGAAGTATTCCGGGTGGTATACTTGTCAGAGAAATAAAGCCGCACCAATATAATAATATAAAATGAATAATCAGATCAGTTTAAGTCTTCCGAAAAGATCTAGAATAAATCCAAATGCATCTAAAAAAAACGCACAATTTATGCAATAAAATTCCTTTAATAATATAAAAATAATAATAACAACATTAGCTGTAATCAGGGACTACAGAGTGACCTAACGAATAACAATCTCATTGTTTCGTTGCAAAAATTCTTTTTATCGAGTGTTATCCATTCCTAATTTTAAAAATAATGTGCCAAAGACGTCTCGGTAAGATTCTATTAAAGAGGATAGAATTTTATTTTAGCAGAATTTATTTTTTATTAAACAGTATGCAAAAGATGTATTATAGTGAAATTGAATTATTAAAAAAACATAACATTCTTTATTATCTGAGAAACCATATTTAATTTCGTTTTACCTCATCATAAAGGAACATCAGGTAAGATGGTAAGTGGTCAAAAATGACAATGAAGCCTATTTATTAGTACCGGATTTACGATAACAATAATAATAAAGTTTACCTATGCCAACGTCCGACACCGAAATTCGGCAGAACTGGTAGGAGTTTCCAATTTTATTACTCTACACTTATTCGAATATTCGAGTTTTTTTATGTACCATGACAGTGGCGGACCCGCAGGAAGGACCAGAGGTGGTATCCAGAAGGTATCAAAATATGTTTAATGGACTGGCAATGTGTCCTACCTATTTTAGTAAATTACTACCTATTTATTTATTTTTTCTACTTCCGCCTCTAAAATACCTAATTACACACCGATCTAGCGTGCGGGAAGGGTCACTTTACCGCGTCAGTTTCGTTTGACACGGATCCGAGTCACTTCGGACATTTACGGGATTTTACCGCACGGGTTTGGGAGCAATCGGATGTTTTCGGAGATATTTCCCACGCTTTGAATTTTGACGTTTGTCAATTCTGACGGTTATGTCAGTGAATGTATTTGTGTTGTTTTGCGAAAATGTACCCAAAAACTAAAGGTCGTAGAAAAAGTATAATATGCAACACGTTCGGTAAACTTTTTAACTCACTAACGAGTGAGTCCGCTCGTGTCAAATAAACCCGCCAGTTAAATGCCGTTTACAGCACTTGTTGCATAATATACCATTTTACCATAACTTATCCTAAGGCCGCTACGATACCTAGGACGTTGTCTTGCCCAATCACTTTCAAACATATAGCTATTAGATAATATAGTGGCCCTACCAGGGTAAAAATTGATGCACTCCAGGCAGTATTGATATTTTCGTAGAGAAGGGAACGATTTTCTGCGCATCCCTCGACATTTCAACCATCAATTTGCACTTCACGCGATTTTCTTTCTAAACAGCGATTTTCACATGCTTTACTCGTTTTCCTAGAACATTTAACGCGATCTAGAAATATTTTAACAAAAAACCGCCGTAAAAAAGTCGCATCCAAATTTTTTGACGATCTGTCAGCGGACAGATTGGTTCTTGAATGCAGCAAGGGCTTTGCTTAACTAGCGCATGCGTATGTTCAAAAAATGTTTCATACTTGTTTTATAGGTTCCTGTATTATCGGTATAGGCAAAACCTCTATATTTCTACTAGCTACATGCTTTCAAGACAGTGGGACGAAACTTTCACTATGCAATTGTATAAAACTAGCTTGAGCATTTTGTGATTGAAAGTACTTACTTCCGGATCTGCTCGACATGGAAATGTTGTCACCGAACTCCCCAGAAATTTCACCAACTTCGTCGTCAAGAACTGCGGCCTCGTTCACAGCACCAACAGGCACGTGTATTGAATCTGTTACACTCTGTAAGATGCTCGATCGTCGTTTCTTGCCCATGTTTTGGATGACGCTGAGCTTCAAAAAGACATCCTCCAAACTATCGGCGCCGTAATGGCTGATGAGTCGTTCCGGTGATTCTTCGGCTAAGAAATAGCCGCCTCTCATGAGCCCAATCTGGAATACAGGTATCAGATTTTTACAAACACAATATTTTTAATTTGCAAGTTATTATTGTATTCGTACAATTGAAATTCGAGGTGTTTAATATATACGGTGGTAGCGTATATCCGCAATAAAGTGTTTGAATTTTAAAATTGCCATTGTCTTCGGGAACATCTTTCAACGCTGCATTTTTTAAACTGTTTGGTAATGCTTATCATCTATTATAGACGTATGCCAAATTTTAAAGGTTTTTTATGTTAGTGCTGTAGAACTGTTAATAGAACACTCAGCACAAATCACTCTGTATAAATAAAATTTTATTTTTACCATTTAATGTTATTATATAAACTTCTCCAATGATTGATGTATTCAGGAGTTCTTTTTCCAAATTTTTGTGGCCTTAAATCCATGATTGGTTTTCTGCATTTAGTCCTTCTAATTATTTATATTTGGATACGGCACCCGTCAAGTTTCCTTTCGTGTAGCAAATTACTTTTAGTTAAGTACTTCTAGTAAGACAAATATCATGATGACATTTTAATTGGCAATATTAACAACGATTTGTTGTTTTTTACAATTTTGAAAAGTCAAATTGTTTGTAACATAATCTCGCCCATTTTTAGTTAAAACAAATATTATTAAAATATAGTAAATAATAGTATTGAAAAGCGTAGATATTGTTGATAGACTCAAACTGAAAAAGTCATAGCAAATTAGCAAAAAATACGAAAATTGTATATCGAAATTAATTTTATATAAGCTTTTCAAATACGTTAATTATAATATATAATATTTCACGGTGCGATTCTTCAAATATTTTCAAAAAGAGAGTAAAATGGTTTAGCAATTCATTTCTTTTTCTTATTTCAAGAAGCTACTAATTTTCTTTCAGAAATCAGCATTATTCAGGAAATAATGCAGAAAAAACAAAAATAAAAATAAAGCTTTGAGATCCTGAGACATCACGTTCATAGTAATTTTACCTTAAAAAAAGTATTTGATCGAATTACATAAAATTTCATATATGAAGTTTTTTGTGAAAACTAAGCACATTCATTTTTGTAAAATATAATTATAAATAAATTTATCTCATATAAACAAATACAGCATTCGATATTCAACGCAAAAACATCTAATTCTCTTCTCTCCGCATAGGTTGAACGTTGAAGTTTAGAAGAAGAATCTGCCGATTTGCGATAAATGGCGTCATCAAAGACGCGAATGAAAATTTACCAAATGAGCCTGTCGTGTTTCATCGATGTAATGCGTTGTGATTATGACGGTTGTCCTCCCGTGCTTGGTAATTTCTACCAAGTGATTCCAAATACTCTGTCTCAATAAGGGATCCACTCCCACAGTCGGTTCGTCCAGAATCAACAGTTCCGGTTCGTGAATTAAAGTGGCAGCAAGGGATACCCTCCTCTGCTGACCTCCGCTCAAATTTTTGACTTGCCTATGCAAACACAAAACACAGTGTACTTGACTCCAAACAAACGCTTCCTAGAAACCGTCGATTTCAGTTCTAGGTATTCGATATACACTATAAATTTAAAACGATATATTTTCTTGGAATACTGCGATTTAATTTTGCTAACTGAACCCCAGATGGGGTAGGATGCCCAAGAAGTTGCCTTAATTAGACATTTTTTTTACGATGTGTGTCAATGACGTCGGGCTTTTTTAAATGCCTCTCGTTTATACCGGGTGCAAATCTAAAGCTGGGAAACATTTTCATTTGTTGAAGAATCTGTAATCCTGTAAAGTTCTTTATGAGGTAGGGTGAATCACTAGGTTAACATTTGTGAAAGTCTTTGAATTGTATTGATTGCTATTGCAGCGGAAATGTTATATTCTATTTACTCCAGCCTAATACATTTCATTTTTATATTAAAAGGGTTTAATAATATTTTAATAAAGAAAAACAATTTTTTAAAAATTTTTAAGCCTTGTTCTTTATTCTATATAAAGTTTGGATCTGATTTCAAAAATGTTTGTTTTAAACTTTTTTCTTTATAACTTATTGACGAATTTTATAGGGTATTTGTTATTATTTACTTCTAATTTTAAAATAAAAACAGAATTTATTAGAATGGAGTATCAAATTATAGCTAGTCAAAATTATGCAAATTCTTTCATGTCCCACTTGAACTGCCGATCGGTATATATTAATGATTGTTTTACACCCGCCTATTTTTATATTGCAATATCTTTGTATTACTACTTATAAACGAGAGTTAAAGTTGTTCTATTAGCATTGCCAGAATTGACAGCTGATATTCCGCTTTTTGTAAGTATTACTTAGAATTTATTAATTTTCTCAAATCAACTTAACCTAACATACTAATTCTTACTTGTCTGCATCTGGTAGCATCAAAAAATTTATTAGGAAATCTATTTTGGCTTCGATTTGCTCCGTTGTCATACCAGATATCCATCCGAAATATTTGAAAGTTTCTCTAATCGTAAATTCACCGTAAAGAGCAATTTCCTGAAAAGAACATTTTAAGTATTTTCTCCAAGGCAATAATTTTATAGATACAACATTTTGTTAACTATGTCTTGTATACAATATGACTAAGATTTTATTTTCGTGGAAAATATAGTGGAAAAATCAAGCAAAAATTGCATCAGTTTAGGAAGATACACAAATAATAGAGTGACAATATTGTCAATTAATTACAACTTTTTCGTTGATTTATATTATATCTATTTATTATATTCACCTATTCTTTTACTAGTAGGTACATATTGACAAAACATTTATTTTGGATAAAGAATATTATGTTTTATCTCTCGCTACGTATGTCCTATAATTATTTTTATTTCGTTTTGGTGGCAGGTTATATTATCACAATTATTTACTTAATACAATAATAGTTGAGTGTATTTCAAAAGTTTTTTTTGCAGCGTAGCCGTTTAAGGAAAAGAATAGAAAATATGTAATGAATTTTGCAACGAAACTTCTCCAGGTTACTATAATACTATTTACAAGTCTTCTGGATTCCTCCTGCGTCGGTTAATCAATAGATCAAACTTGCCTAAGTTTCGCCAATTATTATTACTGGCAAAGCTAAATTGCGAACCAATTTCAGTTGAGTTCGTAAGAAGCCAACAGAATTTGATGTATCGACGCAGGAGGAATCCAGAAGATTACAATGTGCATCAGTTTTTGGTAAAAAACTGTAATGGTTAATATTAAACCTATTTTTATGAAAAAAAATGGTCCATATAAAGAAACTGTTTCGATTTCAAATTAATACTGGTGAAGGTGTTAGCCACATGACTCAAAAAACATAAATAACATAATATACAAAACGTTGATGAACTTCTTCAGACACTCCAGTATTCATCATTTTATTATCGTAATTAATGTAGCGTTCATCAAACTTGTTGCATACACTATAATTTTAATTTTATGCCATATCGTTTTCGGGTAAAACAATAAAGACTGACTTACGTTTAATGCAAAAAATATTAGTAAGCAAAATCAAAAGAATTTTGCTCTCTTTCTCTCTCATTTTGGTCTCTCCCTATTTCACTTTTGATAATAATATGCTTTTCTTGTTTTTATTATCTTTTACCGTTATTGTAAATACATACTCGTTATTGTAAATACGTACTTTTACAATATTTTATTTTACTATACATTAGAATTGGACAAACATTTATTTTCAGCATTTGCACATATTTTATCAGTATAGCAAACATCACTTTTTCATTGTTTAAGATGCATCCTCAAAATAAGCACATTACAACATTTTTCCATTGCAGTTAATTACTGGGATACTTATATATTCTTAAGTTGAAGCTAACTGGAAAATAAACATATTTTTAGATACATGTTTTTGTTTACCACTTTTTACTGACAAGATGGCGAAAGCAATATTTGATAAATATGTAAATGTAAAATATTAAATTCCGAAACTGTAGGTAATAATCTTGTTGCATTGTATGTTAATGACCACCCTTGGATAATCCCATTCAAAAGCAATTGGTCACTTTCTTATATCTATGAACAGAGCATACCATACATATCAAAAACACCGTCAAATGAGCTGGTAACTGGTATCGATGATCGCTTTGGTACAGTTTTTATTTTTAGCTTTATAATAGTCGCTTAGTTGTCCCTACAATACTCTAGGTATTACTCGGTTCTCTCTAGACACTTTCTGTGGTGTAAAAAGTCTTAGGCAGTGAGATGATCTTAATCTTAGCAACCAGAATCCAGATAAAAGCAAAGAATAATATGCATACCTGGGGCATATATCCAACTCTGGGCCCAGGAACTCCGCTGCCTCTGGACCCCGGTGTGCCACCCAGTACCCATATTTCTCCAGAATTTAACCGTTTCCGTCCCACTATGCAATTGAGCAATGTGGTCTTTCCGCACCCACTGGCACCTAACAATCCGTAGCTAAAAGGCAATGCCGTCACTGATTAACATTTACAGATAGACAAAAAACTTGATATTTTCCCAAGATTATAATAATAATAATTACTTACATACACCCTTTTGGAACCGTCATATTCAAACCATCAAGAATGACGCATGGGTTGCTCTTGGTACCGTACCTCTTGTATGCTCTCCTGACGCAAACGGCCTGTTGTCGACGACTTTGCACTGTCGACTGTTGGCCTTTGAAATTCCGTCTACGCAGTTCTAAGTCTGTGGGCCCTTCCGGCATTTTGGCAGGTTATCTCTATGCCTGCAAGTAAAAGTAAACTTGGATAATAACGGAAGCACCAGAGAATTTCAAAAATCGGTTTAATTCTTTAGATCTAAATTATTAGTTGAAAACATGGGGCAACGATTGGATTAACCCCTCATAATTGTATTTGAGATAATCTTGTGTAAAAAGAGCGATACGTCCTTTTGGCGTAACGCCAAGTAATGAATTAATTATTCTATTTTATTCTCGATGTTTTGATTAACTTGTATTTGTAACCGTTACAACAAGAATGTGGGTCCTACTGACATGCTATTATACACTTGCTATTTGACAATAATTCAGCAGCACTACGGTAAATGCTATCCTATGGCCATTAATATATTTTTTCAAATCCTAGAAAACTGATAATAAAAGCGTTTTATTTAAAATTTTCGTTCACTCCTGTATAACCGGGCCTAATTTCTAGATATTTTATTTAAATGCTTACTAATTAAAAAACACTTACCTAGAATTGTCAAGTGAAATTTGCGTCAAAATTCGGTGAATAAACAACTAATTAATAATAATTTTTCCAAGGTTTATTGTTTGAAGACCTCGTAGGTATGTCTAGGTCAGAATAAGACAAACATCTTCGTTGATGACTGCTGATCAATTACCACGTAGAAAAATGAATGAAATTAACATCTCAAAATGGAAATACTAGTTTACTTCTAAGGCAAAGGAAGTGTGTGCGATTTTTAACAAAAGTAAAAAAGTAGTAATGATTCTAAAGCTTTTCATGATTGTAAATAGTAGGTATATAAGCAGCTGCCATTTGTTACACATTGTTTTCTTCTCTATCGTATTATACTAATTACTAAAATACGTTTATCAAAATTATTAAAGGAAAAAATAGTTTCCTGATTTTGAGTTGTTCTGCTAAAATCAAGAATATTTTTAGAAAAAATTATAATTTTAACCTACATATAAGTACACAAAACAAACTTGTTTTAAATCAAATTAAAATTGATCATAAAATTAACCGAAAACAATAATACGATTTCAGAAATTACATTCTTTATTCCTTAGATTTCTAAAGCAAACGAAGCATTTCATCTTTATTTTGTTGAAGTTAACATTTTATGTAATGTGTGTTGTTGCACACATCGCGTTATGCAATGATTATTTTCTGGTTTGCCTTAGTAGATCACGGTCAATGATATAATTAATGGGTTTTGTATTTTCGGCTTTTGGCGAATAATCCGGTGTTGATTTCTTCGCCATCTTAAGCACGCCAGCAAAGGACACTCGAGGGTTTCACATTTAGTGAAGTAGTGCTTTTATTTTTAATTGAATTATGCAATCGCATAAATTGACAGATAACGAAATATTGCTTTCATTAAACTAAATACTGCGAACGTATTTGAGAGAATATCTTAATTTTCTTAATTATTTTCGAATGCACTTTTTTTAGAAGAAGGAGGAATCCGTGGAAAACACTTTTAACGCGAGCGCTTATTCTTTCTGAAGATTTAAATAAATATTTACATTATTCCTACTATAGTTGACATTAGCACTCAGCTAATTCTAAGAAATTTAAATAGTACGTGAGTACAAGTTGTTTAAACTAAACGCTTGCAAATAAATACGTTGGTCTGAAATGGGAAAACAGTTACCTAATGCGTAATATCTGAGGATTAAAAAATATCGCCGAAATGAGAAAAAAAATTACTAGGGGTTTGTTTTGTTTCAAATGTCCTTTACATGTCGTTATTTTAACATCTGATTTTTTGAAAATAACTTTTTTTAAATTAAAATGGAAAAATCGACAATTTTTGTTCTGTCAAAGTTATCAAAAAGTTTAAATCTAATAAGAAAAAAAATATTCTTATCAATAATGATGCCCATATTCATTATGTATTTGAAAGCGACAACTGAACTGAACCGTTTAGAGAATAAAATCAGTTGTCATCTTTAATCGATAGAGGTTCATATTTTTTATTTACGTTCGATAGTTAAAACAATACTCTTTTTAAAATGTTTACTAATAGTGGAAGAATATTATTGCTAACGCAGCATTTTTATTTATCAACCAACAACAACGTCGGTGTACAAATTTTGGAGTTGGTTTCTAAACTGCTAAACACTCGAAACGAGCTACTTATATGTAAAACTAAAGATATTTGAGAAAAAATATTTCAGAATATAAAGGCTCAGTTTAACACTTATGGATTTTTCCAAAGTTTTTAAATTCTAGTTACAACTGAATATTAAATATCTTAAAATCAAATCGAAAAATTTTGTAAAGTCACAATTGATTTCATTTCATTTTGTTAATGTGATGGAAAACTATTTATATTCTTCCTAATAGGGTTGGAATTCAAAAAGAAGACCAATTATTGAAAATACAAAGTATAAAAAATTCAAAGTTTTTAGAAAAAATAAAGATTTATTTGATTATTTGACTGATTCATTTGCACATTCAACAAAATGTTAAATAACTAAATTACAAAAATTTCTAAGGGTTTGGTGTATTGAGAATTAATTTTACATTTTCCCCAAAGACAAAGTGTTCCGAGAACAACACAAAAATGACGTCAAACTCTAAAAAAACCTAATTCCATATTCCAACACAATAATAAACCACACTGACAACGCGTCAAAAACAAGTAAAAATTTTACTTAATTAAAAACGACCAAAAAACTGGTTTATTGTCGTCATCAAGACAGTGGTCAATGATGTGATGAATATGTTGGTGTTATTAAAAGACTACATAAGTTTGGATATCCGATGAGGGTATAACATTGACCAGCATAATCATCATTTGTTTTTTTTTTTTGCAAAACGTACACTAACCACAAGGTCTCATGTAAATTTGTCGTAATGTTATGTACGCATTTTAATGAGTAAATTTATTGTCGGTGTTCCTTAAATTTTAACATACAATTATCGTTAAATGATTTTTCTAGTAAATGGCTAAGTGGTGGCCATCAATTTCTATGTGCGAAGCAAATTATCGATAAACATCGAAACTCTGAGTCTAGCAAACTGCTAGTCTAGCAAATAATTACTGACCAACAATTTCATCATATATCTAATTATAATATTGCTGCTTTGTTAAGCTGGCCTAAAAGTGCTGTTCAAACTGTTCATCTCGTAATAGTGATTCAGTCACTTATAGGCACTTTTATAAATCGCTACTGTCCTAATTCCAATTGTTTTTAAAACCCCAAGAAGGCAGGGTCGACTAACCCCTCCCCCTCCTGCCCCCTCCTGCTTCATCTTCAGCGAACGACCATGAAAACGCTTATTACGTGTTCGACACTAACAATATCGTTGATAGAAAGAAGTCATCTAAGTAAGTTTATATTCCGCTATTAAATTGCAGAGTCCAACAATGCACCTCAATATAAATGTACCATTTACAAGTTACCGCGAAAAGCAACCATTACAACTATGTTTTTGAATTTTGTAAACTAATATCCTAAACAAAAATTCTACATTCTACACTCGACATACCTATGTATTTCCTCCCTCCTCATCGGATTTTCAAATAAAAAACGATATTTTGTAGGAAAACACTGGGTAGGTTATATGCGACATATGGCAAAATATCGTAATTAAATTATCACTATAGGTATTGTAAATGCAGGGGTTTGTATTTTTTCGTCAATAAAGTTCAGTAGAAATGACATTTAAGGATATATCGCATTAAAAGTGGGTAGGAAGGTTTCGAATCCATAATAGAAATTGATTAATGTGCCTACATCTGACATTATATGATGACGGTAAATTTCGATGCTGATGCTTATTTCTAGCAAGTACTGGTCCGCACGTTGAGCAATACACCGATAGCCTTAAAAAGTAAATAAATTGAATTTCTTTCCATTTTCTAGTGACTACCTATAAAGTTACCTTTGTCAGCAAGCAAACTCAGGCAAACTAGTCTCCACGCTAATAACAAATATCATAAAATATTCAAAAATTAAATTAAAAATAATATAGAAGTGGTGAGAAGTTAAACAAATAAATAAATCTAATTCCAATCCTCGTTAGTTATCAAAATCCCCTGTTTTGCATTTATTTTCACCTGTCTGGGAAATAATTGGGAAAAATCTGTAGATTGGTAGACCTTCATTTTCATTTTTTCGTTTTTATTAATCTCCAATTTCATTCCATTATTGCCTTTGGTTGGATGCATAATATGATGGATCAAGGCAAAAACCAGGCAAGTTTTTACTATATTCGAGATCATATAGTAACGATGGAATAGGTGAAAGATTTTTTGGGCGTAAAAATTACACCGTGCTGCATTTTCAACCTGAAATATAATGCAAATAAAATGCGAAGATGAGTAATATTGGAAGGAAGGAAAGTGTTCAAGCATTTTTACTAAAAGTTTCAAAAATAATGTTTGGGCAAGAAATTCTAAAAACACTATTTGTTTTTTTTAATGGCACACCTTATATTCTTTCACTTTCGGATTTTACACCAGAAATTATGATTGCGTTTCCCTATATGTATCGCGCACCCTTTTTAAATAAAAATTATTTTTACTCTTTTTGGTTGTTTGCGATTTGTTGATTATACTCACATCATTAATGTTGCTATAAATTGCCATTAAATATAAATTGTTAAGAAATCTCTCAGATTGACTTCCAATATTGCTAACAATAGCAATAATATTGATATTTTTATTGTTTTAACCACAACAAAACACACCAAGTAAATAATTAAAATCTCCAAAAAACTATACATTGTTTACAATGAGTGTGAAAGCAGGCATTCGGACAGCCAGACACCAGTAAAACCCTAACTTGAAAATAAACAGATAAGCTCAGCATAATACGCACATATAATAAGAGCACACTAATCGAATAGGGCAAAGAAAAGGAAATAAATTTATAGAAGAACAGGGCGGTTTGACAAGTTATAATATTACATTGCATAAGGAAAATTTGTGTTTTAATTCTTGTATTAAATTTCATCTGCGGCTGTGAAAATTCGTAAATATTATGATTTAAGAGCACAAAAGGCCGATAGCAAAGCGAAAATAATCTACTAATGGAATTATCTGACATTTCTAAGTACCGTAGGCCACTACACCTGCCGGAAATACCGAATAGCGCCAAAGACCGTTTTTCGCGTATTCTGCAGAAACCGCGAAGAATTAGCTCCATTAGAGAAATAGAGGTCCTGCCTGTTCCGATAATAAAGAAACTTATGAGGCAACTATCAGAGCATTTAACACCAACATGGCCACTGACAAACCGTCAATAAGTTTGAATGCGGAATTTTCTGTCCTGAGAAAACAAATTAAGTGTGTGGAAATCGCAGTTTGCAAAGATACGCAAACTGCACGTTAGTGGGTGAAATGTAGAGGCATGCGTGGAAAATCATAACCTACGAAAATATCAATGCCACCTACGGTACATCAATTTTTACCTTAGTGGAGCCACCATATATATGGGACATCCTAATACCATGCTGGCCTTCTAATTAAATTGATAAAGTTATAGCAATTTTTTTTTGTTAGATTTTCGGACACCCTGTATCAAATGGAATTTTTTTATGATTGGGATATGAAATATAGCTTATTGTTACACTTCATTGTAAATTTCGCTAATGCTTAAATGTTTTAGTGTCATAAACCTTATTGAAACTTATACTCATAAAAAATACAACTTTGATTCTCCTAGCAAGTGGGCAACTTGTATATGTGAAAGTAATATTAAAAATTAACTACACTCCAAAATTGAAACTCTTAGAAAACCTTCGCCACAATATTCGCTGCGTTGAAGCATTTTGTTGGTACATCTCCCTGTAAGTATATTAAATAAAAATGGCAATTTGACAAAATATCCATGGCTTATGTTATTTGCTATCTTTAATTAGAACGATTTTCTTAAAAAAAGCTAATATGTCCCAAAGCACGTGAAATACTAGAAATAATTCTAATTTATCATGTAATAGGAATCAAAAATATTCGTAATAAAATGCAGGATGTTCTATTTAATTTAAAAGTTGGTTTGTAAAATCGAAGCCCATAAATATTCGGTTTTTTCATAAATTGAATATCTGCACATATAATAAATTGTGGGTCACCCGGTATAACAAGATGAACGTTGTGAATGTTTAAGAACATTATGTTTCACGCAATACATAAATGGGCCAAAGCACCTGATGATGCAATAATGTATTATAAACAACGGAGAATACTTTAAATAATAGATGTCTGCATTTAAGGCGACCTTTGGGTTTGTAGAGGAAGGAATTGATACGACTTAATTAAATAACGATTTGTAGTAATTTAATATGAATATGTATTGACGACAAGGTGAATCGTTCAGAAATTCACCGGCTCTGCGGGTATTCCACTAGCTTAAATATTCATAAATACGCTGTAGGTCGATAAAATCGGTAAATTTTCTGTAATTATATGCATGTTCACGTCACATACAAATTTCGGGGAATACTTAAGGAGATTTTATTGACGAATAAACGATACTTACTGTTGTGTGATATTGATCACTATTATTTGTAGTAATTCCAACAAAAATAAAAAGTCAAATTTTCTTTTAAACACATCAACAATTGAAAAATCCAAATCTATTTTGAAGTAATAAAAATTGTGCTATGAATAATACTATAAATGAAAATAAGAAGATAAACGTCGTGACAAACAGTAGTTACCAAGATACAAAAATATAAGTAAAAAAAAAATAAATAATTTTAAAACTGTTAAGATATTAAATTTATTGGAAGAAGAAATGAGATAATATTAAGTGGATGAATATTCAAATTGCCCTTTTTAAAAATTTGTGTTTAACTTTTCTACAAACTCAACACTTACTACCTTATGCTAGAGCAGTTTGAGATCTCTGTTGATATGATTAGAAAAAATCGATCATTGTAAGTTACAAAGAAAGAAGTATCTCAGGTAAAAATGAATTTGCACACAATAAAAATAAAAATAAAAAATACAAAACAAACTTATTTTTATTATTTATGCTGTCACACAGTTTTCTAGTCATACCTTCCTATACGGTCAACATTTTGGTGATATCTTTTTGCTTTGTGTTCCCCATTACGCAAAGAACAAGTATGTCAATATTAGATGGTGCCTAAATAGCAGATTACGCAACAAGTATGACGAAAACCATTATAGAAGATGTTTATTAACGTATTGCATGCTATACTTTTTCTATGACCATTAGTTTTTGAGTAAATTTTTGTAGCATAAATGCATTCAGTGAATGAAGTGTGACGTGACCGTTAGAATTGACAAAAACTTCAAAATACAGGATCAGCATTTCAATAGATTACAAAGGGAGTAAAATTTTTATACACAACTTACTTCGAAAGTACTACAAATTTTGATATGGAGAAAGATGATTAAATAAAAATATTTTATTTTTATTTTTTAAACGGATCCACCAAATTTTACATGGAGAAGTTGTTCCCTATTTTAATATGTCATTGCTAACTCTATCTTTTAGCGCTTAGCAAATTTCTGCCCATAAAATTATATTTTCTGACATTAAACAATTATGCAGATTTTTCGTCATCCGATTCTGTTAATCTGAATTTCGAGTAGGTTGCTTTTGAGAAAAAAAAACCCACTGAGGTACCCAATTATTTACTATCGTTGTTGGTATAAAAATGTAACCTTTGGACAGTTTTAATTGGTACTGTTAAACAAACATAGTCATTTATTTTACAACCCGATATTTTTAAATAGAAATTAATTGGCAAGCGCAATAAAAGGTTGTACGCAAACACGTTCCATTTTTTAAAAACGGAAATAAAATATCTAATTATTCGAAAAACACCCGCATAAGGTTCTAACTGAATAAAAGAAGGTATGAATACTTAAAAAAAAAACATTTACGGTTAGAAATGAAAACATTGGTTCCCGTTTAGGTTTTTGGAAGGAAAAAATAAAAAGGTTTATGTCCCTGGATTTTGGTTGCGTTTAATTTAAATCATTTTGGAATTATAAGTTAAAAAGATAATAGAAAAAGCGATTTTTAGTTTAATAATACGCTGTCGATGGTATAATTAATATTAATTATTACATACCGCATCATAGATCCGTCCAAATTTTGAAACAAATGTAAGGTTTTTTCTATTGCAAAATTCGCAGTTGGTTAAAGAGGTTATTATAATTATTATTAATAGGCACATATAAATTGCCAAAGGTAGATGTGTCGAAATAGCATCTACTTGATCTAATTAATACCTTTTAAACAAATCACACCGAATCGAATCACACACACGCTCGCCGATAAGGAAAAAGACCACGCGCGAATCGCCGTTTTCACAAGCGTGTTCGTAGGGTTGCCGCGCGCGGAAATACAAATTTTTCGTCAAAGTCGCGCGAGTGCATCACCCTGCGCGAGAATTGAATTTTGCCTCTCTGGGAACACCGGCGGAGGGGGGCGAACGCGGTGACCGTTCGCCTTGACCACGTGACTGGGCAGCCCAGAGAACTCGCCTTTCTGGTACCTAAATAAAAAACGTAAGTGGAAGCACCGGTTTCGCTTCTTTCGCAGGACATTCGCAGGATTTGCGAAATTTGCTTCCGTAATCCGTTATAAGTAACAACCAAACTAGCCAATCATTCTAATACCACAACGTTCTATAGCAAAAATTTTCCACGCTGCAGACATGAAGAGGCGAAGGTCATAATAGTAATAGACGTACGGGGTGGGCACTTTATAAGGGACCTCTACCTTTTCTCAGGAACTATTGATTTTAGAAAATAAAATATGCAAAAGTTTTATGGTTGAAATTAAATTTTAAAAATATTTATTTTTTATATATATACAGGGTGTCCGAGAAGTGCTGGATCGACATTAGTTTTAAAGTTTTAAACGGAACACCCTATATATTTTGATAATTTTAGAATCCTTGCCAAAAATAAAGGCAATTTTTATGCAAAGTACTTTTCGAATTTCGTGTAGTTTAGACAGAAATTGAGATTATATATATTTTTATGCAAAATTATGTTCTTAGTAATAGTCTTCCACGGCTGACAGTAATGACTTTTTAATTTCAACTTGCAGTACTCGTTTTTTTTTTTTTTAAATGAGATGCCCATGTTTTCGATATTTTTTTCAAAGTGGGCCAAAATACCTATAATTTGGTATATACTTGTCCTATATCTAAATCTAATGATTTTCGACTACTGAAATTAAAAAAGCATATATATTTTTTTTACTTTTTACAAAACTTCTGGATTCCTCCTGCGTCGGTTTTTGCTGAGTCGAACTTGCTGACGTTTCGCCAGTCATCCTGTTGGCTTCTTCAGAGCTTGACTGAAACAATGTATTCTTTGCCGCATATGCATGGAATGCTGTAAACGCCTGGCATCTCAAATGGAATTTTGTCTTTGACGGACCGAAGAAGTTGAGACGAGTGGACAAGTGGTAAATCTGGTTTTGACGATATACTTCTTTAAACTTTTGATATGTGGTCAGTGATGTTTTGAATGTAAGGAAGGACCACAGTGGCAAGTGTAGGATTGGAAGGTTGTGGTGAAGTGTATTTTTTGATGGGACGCTTAATATCTTTAATGTGGAAATTATTAGAGAGAAGAGCAGAGGTAAGGTGTTTTAATTCTGGGTTCCGTGACTCGGGATGGGATAGTTTTACGGCTCTATAAACAAGAGAGTTGATACCCGATGATTTTTGGGCCGGATGGTGATGTGACCATACATTAAGGTATCGGTCTGTGTGCCCTAGGTTTTCTGTAAACACAATGACCCAATGTTAGGTCAGATTTTCTATTGATAAGAATATCTAAGAATGGAATGTTATTATTAGTTTCCAACGCAATGGTAAAACGTATGTTGTATATAGTTTAAATATCTAAGAAAATCTACCTTTGATAGGTATATTCCGCACCATACTTTCACAGATCGTCTACCTTGGGGTTTTACTTCCAACATCCTTTTCTTAGTTTCATCACTCCAGTAATGTGTGTTTTTCCGATTAAAAATTGGGGCTTTTGTTTGAAAAATCGACTCATCGCTCCAAATCATATGACGCAAGGCGTTATCAGCTAAACGAAAGTCCATTAAAATATTGCAGTAGTGTATTCTTGCGTCATGGTCCCATTCCTCTAGATATTGCACGGGTAAAAATTTAAATGCTTTTCGCTCATTTAGTTTTGAACAATTTGAGGCTGATTCTTTTAACATTCAACTCCAACGCGGCTTGATGAGTAGTAGTAGTACAACCAACTGCTTCTCCTCTGTTAGAACTTGTCGTGGCCTTTTTTTAGACGTTGCCTAAACTTTGCATAAATTTTTCGAAATAGCGTCTTCTCTGGAATCCGCCTTACAGGAAACTTTCTTTGATACTCTCTGAGAGCCAGAGCTGGACTTTTCGAATTCGATATAAAGCATTCAAGCATATCTGTTTTTTTTTACACCGTATACATTTTTACCTTAAGCAATAATAATATTGCTTTATTAAAATCATATCCGTCAAACTCTTAATTATAACTTCACTTGAAACAATTATAAACACTTATTTGGTTACCACAGCCTACTAGGGTAAAAAGTTTCATCATAATATTATTATAACCTTCAAAAAAATGGGAGTTTTTTACTATTAATGAAAACTTGATTTTAATATGCGAAATCTTAATACATTTTCTCATCATTCATTAAAATTAAATAAAATGTAAGAAAGATATGCTATTATAAAATTCTTTAAAATAAGTAGGTGTGAATGTTTTTCACCACCGAGTTTATTTCTAAAAATTTTAAATTTTAAAAAAATGTCCTATAATTTAAGACACCTTGTATAATTTAAAAATACCTAGTCATCCCAGATCGTGCCAACCGTTATTTTCTAAGAACATAATTTTGCATAAACAAAATATAATCTCAATTTCTGTCTAAACTACACAAAATTCGAATAAGTAGTTTCTGCAAAAGTTACCTTTATTTATGGCAAAGATTCTAAAAATATAGGGTGTTCCGTTTACAATTTTAAAACTGATGTCGGTCCAGCACTTATCAAACACCCTGTATATATAAAAACTAAATAATTTTAAAATTTAATTTAAACCATAAAACTATTGTATAAACTTTTTTTTCTAAAATCAGTATTTCCTGGGAAAAGGTATAGGGCCCTAATAAAGAGCCCGCTCCGTATGCACAGTGTGTCCCATTTATTAACACATTAGTGCCCGTTGACGTATTAATACGTTTTTTTCATCCAAAATCTTGTAGCCGTTGACGTAGTAATACGTCATTAATTGTGACAAATCTAGGTGCCGTGGACGTAGTGGTACGTTATTTTTGGTTGTAAATCTAGGCGCCGTTGACGTAGTAGTACGTTTTTTGTTGTCATAGTAAATGTCACATTATAACTGATAATTTAAGAGTTAGCTTGTGTTCTGCAATAATTAACTTACGAATTGACTGATTAATTAAGTAATTTATATATTAATTTAATTGTTTGCCCTGCGATATCATGGAAGAAGACGACTTTGAATTAATTAATAAATGTAATGAGGTATGTGCCGATATATTATCTGAGTTTGAAAATGATGAAGAATGTAACAGCGACGATACAGATTTAGCAGAAAGTAGCAGAAAAAGAAATGTTTTGCCAATTATAAGTGAATCTGAAAGCAGCGATTCAGAAGACACGATATTGGAAAACGAACAGAACTGTTCAACATCAAATTGGTCCCAAATCGATAACGATATTACAGTAAACCCATTTTTGGGAAATTCTGGGGTTAAAGTGTTCCCAAGAAATGCAGAAAATATTTCAGACGTGGTGGATTTGTTTATAGATGATGATTTTTTTCAATTATTAGTAACAGAGACAAATAGATATTATATGCAAAACATGCATAAATATAAACGTGTAAAAAGCACAAAGCAGTGGCGAGATACCACGATAACAGAAATCAAGAAATTTTTAGCTTTGAATATATTGATGGGACAAGTAAAAAAAAATAATGTTAACGATTATTGGACTACTGATCCGTACATGGAAACACCAATTTTTGGTAAAATCATGACTAGAAATAGATTCAGGCAAATACTACAATCACTACATTTTTGCGATAATAGTGCAATCCCTGATGACGCAAGTCGACTTGTTAAAGTAGAATCAATAATGCAATACTTTATAGAGAAGTTTGATAAAGTCTATAAACCAAAACAAAATCTATCGTTGGATGAAGCCATGATTCCTTGCAGAGGTAGAGTAAGTTTCCGAGTGTACAACCCAGGAAAGATTACAAAGTATGGGTTATTAGTGAGAATGTTGTGTGAATCCGACACTGGATATATATGCAAATTTAAATTATATAGTGGCAATGGAGAAACATTGCAAAACCTGGTCGTAAACCTTTTAGATGGTTATGGAAATATTTGGCACCATGTTTACATGGACAATTACTACAACAGTGTTCAGTTAGCACAGAAGTTACTCTACAAAAAGATAAGAATTTGTGGAACTATAAGAGAGAACCGCGGGCTACCACACGATCTAAAAAAAATTACTTTAAAACAAGGACAACACAACTTCCGTAGAAAAGGTGAAATTCTAATACATATTTGGAAAGATAAAAGAGTTGTAAGAATGATTTCAACAATACACCAGGCTCGAATGATACAAACCCAGAAAATAAATCGAAAAACTGGCGATCTGATACAAAAACCAGAAACAATTTTGGAATATAATAAGTACATGAAGGGAGTTGATATAGCAGACCAATACCTTGCTTATAATCCTATTATAAGAAAAACTGTGAAATGGACAAAGAAGGCTTTTATGTTCATATTAAATACTGCACTGTTCAATTCATTTGTTGTCTTCAAGGTTCTGAATCCAGGAAAAAAAATAAAATTTTCATCTTTTTTGAAAAATATTGCGCAAAACTGGATTGAAAAAGGATATGTTCATTCAGAGAGTCCAGGAAATGTATCCAAGAGAGTTTCTCGCGAAGATGCACCAATGAGACTTTCTGCAGACATGAGACAACATAAAATTGTGAAAATTACTAGTTCAGGCAATAAGAAGTTTCCTCAAAAGCGCTGCAGAGTTTGCAAAAAAAACGGAAAAAGGAAGGAAACCTGTTTCATGTGCTCATATTGTGTAATTCCTTTATGTATGGGAAAATGTTTTGAGGATTATCACACAAAAAAAAATTATTAAATCTAAATAATAAATCAATATATAATAAAAATAATTTTTGTTGGTATTTTTTTCTTGTTTTTTTTAAGATTAAATATTTTAAAATCTATTAATCGAAACACTGCACAGAACTATATTTCTATCCATCTTAGCAACCGAGTGAACTATTTTATCATACTACAAAAACCTAAAATTGAGAAATATGTAGCATTGAAATCAAATAGCCCTAATATTATATCCTACTTTAAAATAAAATATGCCGGCTCTCAGCTATAACAACATCACTGAGCATTTTTTTTGTGGGAGGCACTCCCTCCCTATGGGACCGACCTCGGATCCGACCGCGTCAGG